ATGGAAAACTTAAACAACAAGAACAACTGTGACAAACACAACAACTGCAACAACAACAACAACATCAACAACAACAACAAAAATAACAACAGTGACAATTACAACAACAACAACAATACTAAGGACAACATAAACCCAGTTAGTGCTCAAGGGTCTTCGGAACCAGAGCTTCTCTCGACTGACGCAGAGGAGGAACTCCTTCTCACGCCAGTAGAGGAAAAGGCGGCGCCTCCGATGGAGACGGATAATCAGGATCCTCTTGGACCTATTATCCAACAAACTGAGGAGGACCTGAAAAGGTTGGACATCAGGGGAAAAAAACAATATTTCTCTGGTGCATCCAAGCGGCGTATCGCAGCTTATATCAGGGATGGCATGTCCCCAGAGAAAGCTCGCAGATATCAGAAGGAAAGGCTGGAAAAGCTGAAGGCCTGCGGATCGAGTGTTGTGGCCGACCATCCCCAGAAGAGGGAAAGGTCGGAAAGCAACACCCCTGATGCAGGGCCCTCAAAAAAGAGATCGATGAAGGGCAATGTTGGAGAGAAGGTCCCTGGAAACACTCCTCAACAAAACCCGAAAATGACTTCTTATCGGGATGTAGTAGCACAGGTCAAGGTGGCCATCACTCATAGACTGCATTACTCATATAGAGGAAAGGCTATCCGAAGTTCAGATGGGGAAAATCAAAGTAGCCATCATGGAAGAAATGGAGAAAGTTGTGGACTCTCATCCACAATTCACTGCAGCGTTGCAAAGGGACGGATGGATATCCGTAACATGCAACAATTAAAACACCAGGGAGTGGATAACCAGTGTCTGCAGGAAGATAAAGCCTTAGGACATTTGCAACGTCGTGGTACTGGATGGCGACGACATGCCCAAACAGCATGTCTGCGTCACCTACGTACCAAAGGACGAGACAACCGTCAGTCTCTCCAAGGACAAATTTCTAAGTAGGATAGGGAAGCAAAATCCCAGCCTCATGATAAGTTCCACGAGGGTGCTGAGGATGGATAAGGAAAAGGACGGGGGCTGCTCCATCACCACGGAAAACCGTGGATGATTCCGGATTGGAGATCTACGGAAAGCGGAGTTCCGAATTTTCCTGAATTTCTTCCGTGTTACCGTTCGGGTTAAAGGAAGAAAATTCTCTCAAGGTGCTGGCGGCAGGCAGGACAAAATAAAAAACCAATGCCCACCGCGACAACGACGAGCACTTCAGACCAACCAAAAGAGCCAAAACTCATTGGAAAGTCTGAAGCCGCTCCGAAAATGGCGGCAACGGAAACGGAAGGATCATCCACCAGCACTCCAAATACAAGCGTCCCGGGTGAACCAAAAGGGCTCAAGTCCATTGGGAAGCCCGGAATTGCTTCGGTATTTGCTGTTGGAGTGGCTAGCGTGGCACCTGGGACGGCAAAAGAGGCTGTGGCAAGGCAGGCGCCCACCAACATGTGTAAAAAGGCGGCAATGGGAAGCAAGGCTCATGTAAAGCCTTTGTCTAAAGGGCCAAAGTCCATAGACAAGAGCCGGAGGAAATGATATGGCTGTGAGGTGCATCCAAATAAATCTACAGCATGCTAGGGCATCTACTGATGTTCTAGCTCATAGATTTATGAAAGATCACCTCGATATTGTCCTTATCCAAGAGCCTTACATAGTGAAGGATCAGGTTAAGGGCCTAGCAGGTGAGCTATTGTATGACATAACGTATTTTCCCATTCCAGATTACTGTTCTAAGGATCAGGTAGCTGCGTTGGTGAAGGTCAAGTCCTCCAGGAACTGGACAGAGTTTATTGTGTGCTCATCCCACCTCCCGGGAGACTGTGCCCACCCGGACGAGCAACTTAGGGTTCTAGTGGACCTTTGTTGAAGGAGGAACTTCCAACTTATAATAGGAAGTGATGACAATGCCCACCACACCATCTGGGGAAGCAGCAATATAAACAAAAGAGGTGAGTGCCTACTTGAATTTATATATAGCAATAAATTAATGGTTATGAATGAGGGCAATAGGCCGACATTCATAAATGCAATTAGGGAAGAGGTCCTTGACATCACCCTTTGCACTGAATTTATCGGCAGTAGGGTTGCTGGATGGCATGTCTCAAATGAGACATCCATGTCCGATCATAGGCTGATTAGGTTTGATATCATGGTCTCCGGGGGCCTGGCAGAAGAAATGTATCGGGTACCGCAATCCGCAGATTGGAGTCAATTCGAAACGCTCCTCATGGATGGGATTGGATCCGTTCCTGCTTCTGTCAGAACGGTGATGGATATCGAACTGGCCAGCGAGGCCCTGACGGCGGCTATTACTAATGCCTACCATGGGAGCTACTGCGCTAAGCCGAGGCGGAGCAATAGGAAGTGCCCGTGGTGGAATGAAGAGCTCTCAAGGCTTAGACTAAAAACCAGCAAGCTATTCAATAAAGCCAAGGCGTCGGGTTCGTGGGAAGAGTATAAAGACTCACTCACAAAATACAATAAAGAAATTAGGAAAGCGAAGAGAATCTCGTGGAGGGCGTTCTGCAAGGGCATTGATGAACTCTCCAGCAGTGCGCGTCTTCACAGGGTGCTTTCCAAAAAGTATGCTAGCGGGTTGGGCCTAATGAAACGTCCTGATGGCTCCATGACTAAGAACGGAAAGCAGACGCTGGAGCTTATGGCGTCAACGCACTTTCCTGACTCGGAGATTCTTCGGAATCACTCAAATGTGGTCATTGAACCGAGGGCATCCTGGCCCAGGAGGGATGACTGGCAACGATCCCGTCTAGTCTTCACGATGGGCAGCATTAGATGGGCTGTTTTCTCTTTCAGGCCCTTCAAATCTCCAGGTGATGAAGGGATATATCCTGCATTTTTGCAGAGGGGTTTCCAACAAATTGCCAGAGCACTGTTGGAAATTTTTCGTGCCAGCTATGCGTGGGGTTACATCCCTCAGGCATGAAGGGTGGCTAAAGTGACGTATATTCCGAAGGTGGGTAAGTGACCAAGCAACCACCCAAGGTCTTTCCGTCCAATCAGCCTTACTTCTTTTCTATTGAAAGCAATGGAAAAAGTGATTGATAGATTTATACGGGACGATGCACTGGGAAGCAATCCCTTGCATGAATCTCAGTACGCCTATCAGTTGGGAAGGTCTACTGTACTCGCTCTGCAGAGTCTGGTGTGGGTCCTTGAAAACTCACTGGAGGTGTGGGAGGTAGCAGCTGGCTGCTTTCTTGATATAGAGGGAGCTTTTGACAACACCCCATATCATGTCATCTGTGAGTCGTTGTACAAACGAGGGATTGGTGCGACGACTAGCAGATGGGTTAATCGGATGCTACAGGACAGGATTATTAAGTCCACCATAGCTGACGATATACTCTTCATCTCCGCTGCAAAGGGATGTCCGCAGGGCAGGGTTCTTTCGCCCCTCCTGTGGTCCATTGTAGTGGATGATCTAATCGCTGCTCTCAGGGGCTCCGGGGCGCGTGTCTGGGGATACGCCGACGATGTGGCCTTCGTCGTGCGGGGAAAATTTGAGAGCACTATTTCTGATCTTCTACAGCAAAATTTACGTGTTGTGGAAAGGTGGTGCCAAGGCGTTGAGTTAAATATAAATCCAAGCAAGAGCACTTTAGTCGCCTTCACCAGACGCAGAAAGAGGGATAGATTAACGAGCTCAATTCTGTTTGGTGAACGTATTAGTTACTCTAGGGAGGTAAAGTATCTGGGGGTAATCCTGGATGATCGTCTCTCTTGGAATACCCATATAGATAGAGTTATCGGGAGAGCTACGGCGGCCTTGTGGACGTGTAGGAGCTTCATCGGGGGGACCTGGGGAATTAGTCCCAGAATAGCACTGTGGCTATATACGGCCCTTGCTAGGCTCATCGTCACCTATGCGTCGATGGTATGGTGCCGTAAGGCTCAGCAGGCGGGTGTGCGGGCCAAGCTGGAAAAGCTACAGAGGCTGGCCTGCCTATGAGTGACCGGGGTAATGCGGACGGCTCCCACCGCTGCATTGGAGGTGATGATCGGATTGCCGCCACTGCACCTCCATATATTGAAGGAAGCTCGGCTAGTGACTTACCGACTTCTCTCTTGCGAGAACGGGGCAGGGCTAAAGTTGGCCCACAGAACTCACAGAGACTTCATTGAGAGTGATCCGATTCGAAGAATAACCATGTCGGATACCTATCTGCCGCGGTACAACTTCGACCACAGGTACAGGGTTCTGTTTCCCGATCGATGGACGTGGGATCGGGGTGGTCCGGTACTTAGGTCAGGTTCGAGCGTGTAGTATGCGGACGGGTCCGAAACGGAGTCGGGTGTGGGTTCGAGCGTATAAGGTGTCCGAAAATTCTTGATTTCGATAGTCCGCAAAACCAAGTTTAATAATTACAAAATCCATTTTTTTGACTTAAAATTATCACGAATTTGTTTTGAAGTTCAATTTGGATGAGTGCAAAGCATTTTTGGCTTTATATTTCCTGAAGTGGCGAACCAGTATTAAGTGTCCTTTAAGCATATTAAATCCTATTTTATTAATATTTTGTCTTAAAAAATTTTTTCGTTAAAAAATTTTTAGTCTTTCTTCATGAAAAAAAAATCTCTGACTTATTAAATTTTTCAATAATTTTTTAAACAGAAAAATTTTTAGCACAGCTTTCTTAAAAATTCTCTTTTAAGAAAGAAAAATTCAAGATTAAATTGAATATTATTGAATAAGTTAACAACTAAGCTAAAAACTTATATAAACAAACGATATATTTAAAAACTCGTTTGACCATTTAGCTTCCATTGATCTTCAATACTAATTAAAACTGAGAACCATTCATACTTCATACACCTTTTGAAGAAACTTTGTTGTCTTAACCAAATTTCTGATTAAAAGAGTGATTAAAATTCCAACATTTTCTGATCTTTTAGATGATTTACACAATTTCCTGCCATTCTCACTCTAATTTTAAAAATAATCAAACTTCTCGAATAATAACTTTAATACTTACCTAAAGGATAAAAAATTCCGAGTGAACAACCACAATATTGTAAAAGATATTTCTGACGACATTGTGATATACAATTTTTGAAATTATATTTATGACCTGGCAAAGTAATAAATTTCGGATGTTTCATTTCATCTTCAAAGAAACATTGTCTAGTCTCTGGTAATAATCTTTTAATCTCTTCATCAGCCTCAAATAGCGTGGGATTCAAAATAACTTGCCGTTCTGATTTGACTGGAACAAAGAAACTCTGTGATGGCCATTCACTTATAACATGAATTATAACCTAATTATGAAATAAAAAATATTAAATATTAAAAATTTTTTCTAAATGTTAATTTTATTATGATTACATAATTAACAGTGCTTCTCAATCAAAGTTTGAGCTAAAACAATTGTAAAGGCACAAATAATTCTAATTAACAAAAAGCTAGCATACTATATTAATAGGATCTTGGTAATCAAGTTCGGATCTTTTAAGAATGAATAATTCATAATACAACTAGATGGCAACTTGGACGCTTCTTTAAAAATTAATCGTTGACTTATCCAGTTTCCTTTGGAAAAATTCATTTTTAAAGGGTAATTGAAATTTTATTTTATAACTAAAACCTTTCAAATTTATTTTTATTACTACATTGTTTGACATATTCGCACTCTTGAAATTGCTACTAATTAGCTTTCTGTTGAAATTACGTCCCGTGATAGAAGAAGTAATTCTGTGTTACAATTATATCAAATGAATGTAAACAATACATGTAATCATAACTATTACTGTAGAAAAGCAAAAGGAATAATAATTTGCCGATAATTTCTTCACGCTTCTGTAGGTAGTAAAACGTCTGCCTAAGATGCGGTAAGTACCAGTTCGAAGAGAAAAGTTTTTTAATATTTATGTATTGACTGATTATTTTGGGTACATCATCCACTTTATCTGAAGTGAATATTCGTCAGAAACATTGAATATTTTCAATAACAAACTAAAAACCGATAGTAAAACAAGATTGAGAAACACTGAATAATTTTAACATAAAAAGTGGAATTACTGAATTTCATGTAAAATCTTTTTTAGTACTTAATTAAATTAAATCAAATATTTTTCTTGAAATTAAATTAGAAAAATATACTTTACTTTTTTTTATAAATTTTCATAGAAGAAGAAAACTTAATAAATAACAAAGAAAAAAAAAGGTTTAAACAAATTGCTTTTTTTTCCATCCTTTAAAAATTATTTTGTATGTAAATAAATTTTGCCCTTACAAGAATTCCATCTTCTTGTTGGTTTCCAGGTCGTTTTGTTAATGGATTCAAATTTATGCGTAACTTAAGGCCAGTACCAGCACCTTCTGTTGAATACCTTGTTGGAAAAAATGATTCAGACAGCTATAAAGAGAGCAATTAAAATGTAATTTAAACTTTTTTTTCTTATTCTCACTTACAAACACTTGTACATAAAGATATAAAAAATACAAGAATATCTTCCTAAATATCAGGTCAAAATCAGAATAGACATAAAGTATTTATTCGCAAAAACTTAGTTAGAATCGCAAGAGGAGTTGTTCATTTTTCTTTTTTAGATAATTTTTCAACTTATATTTTGATGTGAAAATAGTATAGCTTGATTTTAAATTTAAAACTCTTTTTGGAAAGCTTTGATATTTAATGAAAAAATTTTAAAGCAGAGATTTTGATAAAAATTAAGAAATTATGACAATCAACTTCAGAACACCAAAAATACAATTAAACTTTTATACCTATTAGATACACATTGATGAATTAATAACAAAGCAAGTACTTCTTCAACTACCATAAGTGCTTGCTGTATTAATAATAGATTGTTAATCTAGATTAAAGAACGTCAATATGCGGTGCGAAATCACCATAAGACGAACATACCATTATTCTTTAAAACATTTTTAGAGCTATTTATTATATCTTTGCTTCTTATGTTCCCAAATATAAGATCTTTAAATATTTCTTTTAAAATGCAAGAAATCTTTATAAAGTTTTTAAAAATAAATCGCTTTGGAATAGTTGAACTGAAAGGATGTGAAATTATTTGGGGAATGCGGAAATCATGATAATTTATAATTCGCAATAGACCCTTGTATTTTCTGATTAAATTCATTGTTAATTTTTTTCAAACTTAAGTTGATTTTGCAGTTATGGACAGCCAGAAACTATCCGACAAAATATTCATAAATTTTTTACAAAAAATAAATAAAAACCTTAAGAACAAAAGACAACACAAAAAGTGTTCTTAATACTTGGAGTAGAACAAAATGTTATAATAATTTTTTTTTTATTTTACTTTTTCTTGTTTAAATCCTTAAATTGTTATACATTATATTTTATTTCCTTAAGAATTTAAAAGATTTCCTTGTTATAATATTGTCACTTTTATTATCATCAACCTACATTTGCAGGTTAAAATTAAAAACAAAATAAAAATAAACAAAAGAGACATAAATAATCCCATTTCTTAGGGTTTTTTTTTCTAGGACTTTAAGGAAACTATGATAACTTTGAATTGACTGCGTGCTTGATTAAATTGGAATGAATACCTATAAAAAAACTTTCTACTGAAAGGTAATACAATGACTATTATAGGAGAATATAAAATTTCAAAGATTTTAGAACTTACAAAATGAAAAAATGAAAATTTGCTTTAAGATCCTTTTGTCCTTTTATTTCTCATTTTCTTCTTTTGTATATATAACATTTACTTTTGTTTTATTTATCGTTTTGCCACAAATTTAAAGAAAAAAAAATGTGAACAAATAAAGGATACAAATAAAATAGAGCTCTAGAGAGAAATAAAATAAAAAATAATAGGAAAAGTAAGAAATTTTGTATTTTTGATTTTGAACCCGGAATACCAAATAACATCATCACCATCATTAAATGTGAAAACAGGATATATTTACGATACTGGTTATTATTTTATTGTTTTTATTACAGGTAATGTTTATATTTTTTTTAAGTCTCTGATCACGAATTTTTAATGGAACTGATGAACGTTACTTAATATAAAAATAAAATATTCTTTTACAGGTTTCAATAATTTAAAGTTTTCAAAATGGTGAGAAAATTTCCATAATTTTTTGGATTTGTTACTTTGTTACTGTGATAGTTTATTAAATTTTTAAATTCCCTGAAATTCCAATTGATTTTAAAAAATTATTTTAAATTATTTATCCAAATTCAATTGTTTGTTGTTGTTAATTTTCAAACCAATGCAAAAAACTTTTGAAGTTTATTTGAAAATATTCTACAATTATTTATTCATAGTGTCGACTAAACATTGTAAATTGACTAAATATTATATTGAAGTTTGAATAACTTATTCAAATTTTAATTGACATCAAATCAGTAACATACATTCGATAAGTTCATTAATTACTATTAAAACTAATTAAAATATTGAGCTGCATATGATAAATGCTTTCACGTCTTTCAAAAATTTGACCAAATTTTACAAAAACTTTATAACCGAAAAAAATTTGCTACTACTCGTATACATTGCCCAAAATTTTTCCATTAATTTCTCAATTTTCACACAATTTGCATAATGAAAATATGCCACTATAAACAACTCCTCTACAATCAGATAAATGATTTAATCCTCATTAATTCCCTAATTAATAATCTAACCAAATTATTTAAAATTTAGTCAAATAAATCCCCACATGTTGATTGACGTTATTTATTTTTTTTTTTTTTGTAAATAATGATTTTGTAATACAGAAACCAAATTAACCACGATTCTGTTGAATATTTATTCCCTTAATGAGAATGAAAAATAATTTTTAGTTAATTGAAAAAATTATTTTGATTTTGCCAATTAATTTCGGACACACAGTATTTGAAATTCAAAATTTTTCATATATTATCAGAATTTTTAAAACTATCTTCAAAAATAATTGGAAATTTGAGTGATCTTTAAAATATACATATACAAAATATTCTTATTAAATATAAAAACATAACAGACACTTAGAATATGTTAGTATTCTGAACTTACAGCTCTTAATTGTCCTCTTTCAGTTAATATTGAATTATATGTATAACAATTTCCATGATCTGTTTTTTGTTTCCCAAATGTATCATTGCAACTCACCCAATCATTAATAATCCAACATGTTTCGAAAATATCATTACGATCATGTGACAAATATACTGATAAATTTTCCATTGTTATATGATCCAAAACTTCTAGAGATGAATTTTCAAATTCATTGAATACATCAAATTTTCCATATGCTAAACTTTCTAATTTTCCTGCAAATCTTTTAAATAATTCTATTGTTGAATTACTTGAATTCTTTGGTAAAAATTCAATAATTGCATCGTCCATTTTAAGCCAATTAATTCGATTATTATTACAAATTGTTATTGCTGGAAATGTTATCAAATAAACTGGATATGAAATATTCTCTAAAACATTTGTTAATCGACTGCGATCAGAACGAATTTTAAATGAAATTGCTGAATAAATAGTACCGATGAGTGCGAAACACAATATTATAATCCAAATTTTCCTGAAAATAATGTGTAGAGTAAATATTAAAACAGATTTAAATAAAATGTGTTTGTTATGAAGAGATTTATGTTAAAGAAGTGAATGTAAAGAATTTAAAAAGCGTTGATATTACTTAAAAATCAAGATGAAAAAACTAAGCGGTAATTAGTTAAGTCTATGGTTAAAATTTACAAATTATATAAAGCCGTCAGTTCTAATATCCATCTGCCATTTTTCATGTTGTTAGAGCTTTTCTAAGAAAACTTTCATGTAATTGAAGTGATGTAAGAATTATCTCAGAAAAATTTTTAACCCAAAAAACGGAGTGAAATGAATTCTTGTTGTTCCTAAGACTCCTATTGATTTATATATAATATAGTCTATTACGAGTGATATTATTTTGTTATCTGTTACATAAAACACAAAGTCTAGAAAATTTTTCATATTTTAATCAAATTTATTAACTAACCAAAACAAACTTTCAAGTTCTTTATTGTTCTTTATCAATCTTTATTAATCTTTATACAAAATCTACCACAGAATCCTTTTCTTCTCTTTTGCTCTTTTTTCTTTCTTATTTTTTTTATTTTATATATATATATTTTTTTTGATTTCTCAAATTATGTAAATCAATTTATTTACACAGTTTTCATGATTTTAAAACTATAAAATGAAAATGAGTCACCAGTCCAACATCGGATGTGGGAGAAAAATTTTTCAAATTCAATTTGGTTTAAAATTTTAGAAAATTAAATTAGGTATAATATTATGGCACCAAAACCATAGCTTAGAACGAGATTTTATCAATTTGTTATTGTGTTTTTCAATTCTAAAGGCATAAATTTTTGGCACAGAAACAATCTAAGAAACAACAAAGAAAATTAAATTAAAGAATTTCGTAGTAAAGTTGTAAAACTAAGGAGAAACAAATATAACTATAATTGAATTAAAAAAATTTTTCACAAAACTCATTTTAAATTGAGATCAGAATAATTTTGTGAAGATTCGCTACTCCATTTTTTCATTTAGCTTTCATTATAAATTAAAAATTTCATTAAGAGTTTTCGGGCCTGTAAAAAGAAAATTTATTTTATTTTTATTTTAATTTAAAATAAGGAAAAAAATTGTTTTTATTGCCATTTATATTTGCTCTAAGCAGTAGAATTGTTTTTTTTTTTTTAGAATTTTAATTTGAAAACTTTCATTTGAAAGAAAAACATTACGTTAATTGAATAGACAGCCTTTTTGTAATTCAATTACAGTTTGTTAACAAAAATGTTTTAGGGCTTTTATGAAAGTGTCCTATTGTTTTTTGTTTTGATGAACTACAAAAATAGCTCTATTTAATGGTGGATTCACTATTCCTTACTATTTCCATATAAACAAAATTATTCCAAAAATATATAGGAATTGTCACTACTTTTAAAAATTTAATTTTACTATCCAGACAAAAAAAAATTAATTCCAAGTTCTTTACACAGATTAAACATAAAACTCCAAAATGTTTAAAAAATACTGAAAGTCCAACATGAGCATTAAAATAAAAATTCATAATTTTCATCCTTTAAGGATATTTTTTTATAAATTTCATCTTATGTATGAAAATATTGTAATTTTATGAAATTTAATAAAAAAAATGTTAATTTAGGAAACAATGTTTGTCTCAAAATTAAGTAATTAAATTTTTTAAAGCATCTCAGTTTTTGCAAGTAATTCTTACTTGAAAAATAAGAAGGACATTCATTTTTTGAACAACTCCTTTAAAGTTTCATTTTAATATATTCTAATATTCTCATTATATAAACCTCTAGATTGTACGTAGATATTTTCTTTAAGAAATTTTTATTTACTAAATAATCTGCTCAATTTAAAAGTTATTTATATTGTTTTGTAGTCCATAAAAACAATAAGGCGGCAGAAAGCGAAAATCGTTCAAACTCAAAATATTCTTTTCAAAATGTAAAAACATTTTCTTCTATTTCGTTAACGTAAAGAATTTTTGTTTTAAATTTAAGTTTATTTAATAACTATTATAAAAATTTCATGAAGCTTAAAATCTCAACGTTTATCAGCGTTCAGAGCGTCGAAAATATTATGAAAAACTTTATTATATACCGAAAAAATTAGAAATAAATCTGAATTACTCAAGTTTTTTACATAAAAAACAGCCTTCCAAACAAAAATAATTATGCACTATATAACTAGGAAAGTTTTTTATTCTCTAGTTTTTTTATCACTTATTTAGTCTTTCTAAACGCATTTTTTAAGTTTACTCTTGTACTTATAGCTAAAATAAAAGTTTATAAAAGCAATATAAGGAAATTCTCTGAAACTTAAGAAATTATAACTATGTATTTGAAAGCTTAATAAATGCCATATATTTGTATAACAGAAAAAAATAAAGGAATAATTAATTTAAATTTCCATTTACAATACTGATAAAGATTCTCCATGTACCGCAAGTAATACATTTATGGCAGTAAATACTGTTACATACAAGTTATTCAGTTGAGCTCTAAATGAGTTTATACGATTAGAATAAATAAAAAAAATTAAAAATATTACTCGAATTTAACAAAAATAAGGCGAACACAGCCGAAATTGTGAAATTGTATTTCTGCGTTGGAAATAATATTCACCACCGTAATAGTGGTGAAGTAGTTACTATGAAACTTTATCATTCCACAATTGTACTTTACAGTTCTTGATTTTCACACAATTTGCTCGCTTTTATTACTATAATGTCGGGCTTAACATATTTGATACAATTGTATAAGATATCTAAAATTCTCTATATAGGTATTTATTATACATTTGAATGTATGTAAGTGTTTATATGTTATTTTTTATGTAAAAAATAATTAGAACAGAATTTAATACTTCATGTTTCATAACTGCTCTTGTTTTTTTTTCCTTTGCTTTGTTTTTTCTTTAATTTTCTGTTATCTTACCTTTTGTATCCAGTTATATTTTCATTAGCAACATAACTGACACCATGTATAGTAGATTCACTTAAATAAATCTTAATTAAGGATCTTAAGGTTTTTTTAGTTGGTGATGTTTTTCTTATTACTTTTTTTATATTATTATTTGTTGTTTCTGATGATCTTAATATTATTTCTCTTATATCCTTAACCGACGAAGAGGATGTTGTTATTCTATTCCTTCGTAATAATGTCATTGTTGGAAATATTTTATGTTTTCTTTTCGTCTCCCAATTTAATTTTTTGAAATTTTTTAAATGATGATTTTTAAATTTAATATTATCGTAATTACTTAAATTTTCATTTTTATTAATTTTCTTATTATAATTAAGGCTCTTTTGTACATAATTAAAATCAGTTATATAAATTAATTTTTGATTTTTATTAGATACCAATTCGGGTAACATTATACTTTTAAAGAACAGTTTAAAAAAAAAGAGTTAAAAATGTTTATGAACCGAAATTCATTGAAATTCAGTGAAATTATACTTTTCCATTCATTTTATAATAATTGCTATGTTTGTTTGTATATGAATTTTTGAGAAAATAAAATGGATTCAAAAATACGGAAATTAATTTTATTTACTCTTAATTAATTTTTATTTTTACTTGTACAATATGCATACATACACAACCGTTTATACTCCTTTTTGGAAAAAATAAGTAAATATAAGAACAGCAAATGAATTAACAAATAATTAGAGCTCCTTATTTACTGTAATTATTTGTTATATAATTTTTAGTGTAAATAAAAAAGGAAGGAAGAAAAAAACATGGGAAATGAGTTTTAATTATACGTCTGTAGTATAAAAAAGAAATTTAAATGTATACAACAAAAAAAGGTTAAGTAAAAAATAAGTAGGTTAAATGATAAAAGTAAGGTTATGTACGCAATGTTGAGCAAAAAAGAAGCGTCTAAATCAAAGATTTTTATTTTTTGGTGTTGTTTGTACAATTATAATTATAATTCGTTTCTGTGATTTTTGCTGTAATTTAAAAAAAAATTAAGGATAAAAATTAGAAATATTTTTATTACTCCTGTAAACCTATTTGTAGACAATGTTATACTTAAAGTTCGGAAGACGAAAGGTAATTTTGAATGTAATAAAAAAGGAAAGTTAAGCAATTTCACTAATCATAATCAAATTTCAAATTTTTTTTTTCGGATTCCGAATGGTGAGCACTATTATTTTAATGGAGCAAATTAATCCCATATCTGCAAGCAAGAGATTAAAAGAAATAACTATTCAACTATTGGTGATTATTGAGTGAGAAGCATTCCATGGCAACTTTTTATTCCAATTTTTATAATATCAAAAAAAATTTAAAACATTTTTTATGTATTTTTTATAAGAAATAAAAAATTAATTTTTTTTCTTCCGTTTCTAAAATTTTTTTTTTATTTCAGAAAATATATAAAGGAACTTTCATTATTTTTGTACGCACTTTCCCTTCAATAAAGGACCATATGTTTTTGCATATTGTTATACACCCATATACATACATATGTGTACAATATAGAATTCTGTACCCATAGAATTTGCTTTAAAAAAAATGTATGTATTTTAAAAACACATAATATTTTATTTAAGAATATGCTTAAAATTCTGTAAACAAGTACCATTTTAAGTACACACAATATGTATATATGTATTGTATATTAAATATTACCATTATTATGTACTCACATGAATTGAAATAAATTTTATATGACAAACACGTGTTTAGAAAACTTTAAGAGCTGTTATAGAAAATATAGTAACTAAAATAATATTGTAAAGGGTGTTTCACTATTAATAAATACTTTTGAAACACCCTTAAATATGTGAAACAATATAGCTATAAAAATTTCTAAGAGCTACTAAAAGGTGAGGCGAATACTATCTTAATTTCATTTTCTCCCTATTTTGATATCTTATCATAACAATATAGCATTTTTATATTATAGTTCAGTAGTGGACTCTGTAAATTTTTATTCCATACTTCAAAAGACAATGAAAAGATTTTAAATAAATCTTAATGTCGAAATCTTATTGCATAAATTTGGGAGAAATACAAGAATAAAACGTATATTGAAAAAATTGTTCTTTTTCTGACAATTGAATTAGAGAGGAAATCTAATTAGCTAAGATAATCTTAATTTTTCTAGAAGAAAACAAGATTTCTTTCTTATTTTCTTAAATATAATTATGACGAATCGGCAATTTCACGACCTTGAGAGGCTCTAGTATGAAAAAAACGGCTGAAGATTATATGTGTCATAGAGAAATCAATTTTTGTTTGCAAATTTCAAACTTTTGTAAAAAAACAAACGAATGTACGTACAAACGGGTGACTATTTTAATTGCAAACTATTGTTTCATTTCAATTCTAAAATTTGTTTACGTATTGAAAAACCTTTTCTCTTAATATGAAATCCATATGTATGCGGCTGTGTGTACATATGTATATGGCAAACTATTTCTTGTATTCTGTTCAAAGAACAATGCTGCTCTGAAAAAGTAGTCCAAAAGGGATTTTTGATTATTTTACTCATATGCAAATACAATAACCTTAAAGAAAATAATAAAAATAGGCTGTTTTAAGTCCTATTCAAAAAAATAATTTCACATAAAAAATTTAAAAAAAAAAACAAAAGAAATATATAAAAATAAATTTTTATAAAAGATAAAAGAAAAAGAAGCAAACAAAGAAAAAAGGACGTGACTTTTCAATTAATAAGCTTTTTACTCCTTCCGCTAGTTTTTATTCAAATTTTCATATTTTTATTTTAATGTTCTTTTTTTCATTTTTAATTTCAATAAAGTTAAAGTTTTATATTTTTAATACATACGCTCAAATGTCATATATATGTATATATATATATTATTTTATATATGTCAAATTTACTCGTATATTAATATCCTTACATGAGTTTGGGCTTACTTACACTTTTATATAGCATTAACCAAAAAAAAAAAACTAGAATTTTATTTTTTAATTAAAAAACGTGACCAATCACAAATGATAAAAAAAATTTAATTTTTGTTTTGTCAAGTTCTGACAATTTTTGTGTTTCCTAAATTGAATAATGAAAAGACTTTATATTTTATAACTTCGAATTCAAATTCTAATTCAATGTTTTTGTATCAAAATAAGATGAAGCAAGAAGCTATGTATATATTACTTCATTACAATCAAATAGACAACAAAATCTTTCAAAGCTAACAGGAAATCTTGCTAACTAATAATTATTTTGACAAACAGTTCGAACGTTTTCTGTTTTGCCTAGGAACAATTTTGGAAATTTCGCATAAAAAAATGATATTAAAACACAGTGCACATTCTCAAATAAAATATGCGATTTTTTAAGTGTATGAATTTTTACAATTAAATTTAATTCAAGATTTTCAAAAGATTCTTGCACACTATCAGTGGTTTATTGCAAATACAAACATGTCTTTATTGGTTTATTTTCTTTGTAAAAAATAAATTTTTTGATTTGAGGATTTAATTACTTGTAAAAAGGATAAAAGAATTTTCCATTTATAATTTAGGTTTTTAGATTATTACAATTTATATTATTAACTGATTTATAAGGACAATTAAACATTATAGCATAATATGTGTTCAAGTTATGTGTTGGCACCTAAAGATATGCAATTTAATTAAATGTTATAAACGTTAACTAAATAGCCGGTCATATCTAATATATCTAATTTTTTATTTCCAATTTTGATTAAATTTATGAATTTTTATAATGTAAAGAAATTTTTCTCAGTAAAAACTTGTTTTGTAATTAATTTCTCACTATTAATTTCAAAATTAGATTTTTAAAATTCCCAAAATTGCGCAGATTAGTAAAAATAATTTTTTTTTGTTGTTAATAAAAACAAAAATAACCCTGAAATCGATCAATAAACTATAGTTAAAATTTTTATTATTTGGAAATCGAATAATGACTTTGATCACATTTAATTAAGCCCCTAAATAAGAAAAAATACTCAACTTTTTTCCACATCATTTACCCTTTAAGTTTCATTTAAAAGCTTCATATACTTATCTAATGCAAAACTATATATTCATGTATATTTAGAATATAAAATTGTGCAGCATAGTGTTGTTATATTAATAGATGCCAAACATTCAATGAACTTCATATCCATGAACAAACATTATTATTCTTTAACATTTTCAATCAATATTTTCTCATTATACTAAGGATATTGATGTATGTATATATGTAGATATAAAAATATCCATACATTTCAAAAATAATTTTTGTAAAGTCATTTCTATACAGAAGAGTGATCTCTTTAATTCTCTATTTCTTAAAATAAGGATCAAAGGGTTCCTAACACAATGAAAATATTACAGTATGCATATATGTTTATGAAAGTCTATTAAGAATATGATGAAAGAGTATATACAAAACCATTATAGATCCAAGAAATATAGGGCTACATGAATAGTAAACTATAGTTCAAAAAACGAAATTTATCAATAAAATAATCAACCATTTGACTGGAATAAATAACAACAAAGGTACTATGCATACGTTTATACACAAAAATTAAAACTTCCTTTCCATTAGCAACCACAACTTGTTATATTGTTCCCACAAAAACTTAATACATTAGATCAAAATTGTTATAGTTTAAATACAAAAAAAAATTGGAAGGAATGGCATGCAAATCTAACTTAGAATTTATAAGCTTCAAAATTTTTAAAGACAAATTTGAGTATTACGTTGAACTAATTAAATCATCGTCAAGAATAAGAGAAATATTCTAGTTTTTAACAGTAATTAAAAATTTAACTGCTCTCTTAGACAGTTAATTCGAACATCTAAAATTTTTACGGCTTTTATAAGCATTAACAAATTAAGGTAGAATAAATTTTTTTTGTATGTTCTTACTCATACAAAACCTGGTAATTCATACGCCTGAATTATCGTAAAAATTGAAAAACATAATGAATAAAACTCAAGTTTTCAGGAACTCATTTCTTTGAAGCCATATTTAAGCTTTATCAAAGTATATTGCATATAATATCCTTTAAAAAATTTACAAAAAAAACGAATAAATATAAATTCAAGGACGATTGGTAATAAAAAATTATAGAAATATTAATCTTCATGAAGATAAGAGGAAAGAATAGAAGCTTATATTTTCATCTTTTTATAATTTTATTTTTGGTAACCTTTCAATATCCTGCGCATACTATGAATGCAAATTAGTTTTTGTCTCCTCAAATACTACAAAATTATTTAAAGAAAACGTTGGTTATACCATTCTGTGTAAATATTTCCATTAGAAAACTTACACAAACAATGAAATTGAGATTCTTTTATTCTTATTTATAATAAGTATGTGTATACGAATAAGTTAATCTTAAAAGTAAAAGCATATTACAATAGTATAAATTGAAAAAAAATTCAGAAAATAATCAATGTAATATGGTAGTTCATATATCATACACATAAATAACCTCGCACATACATATATATGACTCTTGATGACCCTACATATATACACATTAAAATCGCTCCAATCTTCTACGATCTGCATTGTGCAAAAAATTATTCATTTATTTTATGACTTCTTTAATCATACTATAACCGGATTAAATTATTAACCAGCTCTAATAATTATCTTTATAATTTAATTTTCTTAAAAACTATATGCGTTTTATAATAATATGTTAATATTAAAATAGTGTAATTGTTTCTTCAATTTATTATTAAAACTTTTGCTCCGTTGTCATTCATTATATTACAAATTTTAATTAATTAAGTAACATTTTAAAAAATTATAGTGATTTTGAAATAAATTTATAAAATAACCGTAACATGAATCAAATCAGTCAACTGTAACTCTGCCGCACAATTTCACACTGAAAACTACAATAAAATGAACATAATTATTTAAAATCTTTTAGTTAAAACTAGTGTTATTACTATATTACCAGCATTAATTTCTTAAATGATTATATAATATGCACATTAAATAGTATTATATACTTAATTGATGATTATTTAATAATGAAATGCATTCTCTTTAATTATTTTATTGAATAAAATCAACAAAACATACGGATTTCTGGGGTTCCAGAATGAATTTAATATCTTTGCCGAGATTGTTGATTATTATGCTTTTTAACTTTTTTTAAAGAGTCTTTTTAAGATATTAGTAGTTAATACTGTTATTGTTGTAAATACAATATTTAATTAATTAATATCTATATTTTTATTAATTACAAAATAATTTAGCAGTATATCTAAATTTCGTATGTATTTATGTTGCAATTGTATTTATACGTTCCTGCTTATGCCTATTTGGGTGCTGGAAATCTTATTATAATTAAATACATTATTAAATTTCAAATAAAAAAAAACACTATTCAACAGTAATTTTAAGTTAACTTAAGACAATTATAATTTGTACTTATTTTCATTTTCAGTTTTACTGTTTTTGCAAAAGACGATTTCGATTACCAGCAAAAGTCGAAAGGTTCTTCAAGTAAAAATCCAGTTCCTAGATTTCTAAAATTTGTACCAAACGTTTAGTTGCTAATCCGTATTTTTAATATTTTTAATTAAAATTTTAAAAATTGAAAACAAAAATAGCAAAGGATATTATTAATAGCAAGGACACTAACCAAGCAAAATATTTCGTTAAATCCACTCCAATATCAATATCAATATTTTTAAAATTCACAATATTCCTTTAGTATTGCAGTTATGGACAGTTTACAATTTTAATGTGCCACATAAAGTTATTCAATTGATATGTATTTTTTTATTTTGATTTCTAAGCTGTTTCTTAATAACTCTATAGTATAGTAGATATTTTTAGAATGCGAAAAATTCTATTCAAAATATACAATAGAGAATGTTTTCAAATATTTTATTATTTCAAGACGTTAATTGTAACTATCAAAAAATTAATAACCAAATTTGTTTTTTGTTGTATCCGAATAGAAGAGAGACAATTTAAATTAAATTATATGAAATAATTTTTTTCAATTCAAAATAAATTTTCTGAACGGCTGATTCAAAATGAAACACTTTCTTTTTCAATATGTTTTTCTGATGTTATTTGACTAGAAAAATTGGAAAATATTTTGACGGAATTTTCATGGTTACTATAACCATGAAAACTATCAAATCTAATCCCAACAAAAAAAACCTTCTAAAAATGTCTAAATGTTTTAATTCCATCAACTTTTTTCGATTTCATGTTTTGCTAATAAAAACTAAAAAGCATTAATAGACGGTAACACAAATTAAGTAGATAAGCAGCTGTTAAAATGTCAAATCCTAAAACAACATCACCTCGTTTAAATGTTTTACAGTTCCATTTGTTCCATATTGTTGATTATTCCATTTCAGCACGAAGAATTGTCAATATCTTCGACAGGAAAGTTCAAAAACAAAATAAATAAGAAAAAATATTGTAAAATTTCCATTGTTTATCAAAATTAGTGGAATTTGATATTTTTTCATGCAATTATTTTAAAATAAGTAAAGTAAACGAAGTTCTAATAAATTAATAAAAAAAATCATCATTAATTTCGTGGTAAGCGATTTTATATTTTTTTTTCTCAATTAAATATTCAAGTTATGTATTTATTTTGTTGTTTTTGTATTTATTCTGGCTTGTCCTCGTTTAATATATTTTTATACAAATTATCAAGTAGTAGGTTTACTATTTTTTATATGTAGAAAATTAAGTGAGGTTAGAGTTTTTGTTGTGGTGCAGATGACTATTTTCAGTTCATTACAAATCAAAATATAAATAAAAATAAAGATCGATACAAAATAGAAATCGGTAAGATTTGTTAATATAAAAGTAAATTTGCAGAAAATTTATTTTTAAAGTAAAATTGAAGTTAAATAGAATTTTTAAAAAAAATGTGCCTGTTCAATCTCACGTAATAAATTTTAAGAATTGTGTAAAATGTGTACCTACAGTTCTATATATAAAAAGAAATTTTCTCAACTTTAGAATAAAAAAAGCACGCGACTTTTTTTCTTATATGCTTATATAGAGCATCTCATATGTTGTACCTAGACCTACATGTATGTATGTACGTATATAATTTTTGTTAAATATGCTGTAGAAGGATCGTTGTTATTGTAGTATATAATAAATAATAGTTATAAATTTAAAATACCTACACCCAATCATTTTATGTCGCTTACATGCGAATACATATGTGTGTTTATATAAACAAAACAAAAAAATTATTGAGGAAAAGTATTTCGAAATTAAATTTACTAAAATTCTTGATAAACAATAAGCATAAAATATTTTGAAAAAAGAAAGGTGATTAACCCTTTTACATTTAGATAGTAATAAATATGCAAGCTGAAATTAGAAAGATTAGAATCAATAGGTAATCATTTTTTCTATTTTCTAACTTTATTTCAAACATCTGCACATATTAAGATATCTTAAATTGAGTAATTTTCTAAATTTTTCTTGTGTTAACACTATTAAGATATAACGAATCTGTTGAACGCGGCTTTAAATTTTAAAAAATGAACTTAAGAGTCTTTTCAGCAAAATCTAAGTATTATCATTACTGACTTATTGGAAAACTTAGTTACTCACTGTTCAGTTATGAACTCTTTCCAATTATATCTTATATTGCGCACCTCCTTAATGTTAAATATAATAATTGAAATTATGTACTAAATGCTAGAACGCATGATATTAATGTGAAGTCAAACCCCATGTTTTAAAAATAATGAATTTCTTAACTATAAAATTCTAAACGTAAAAAATTCAATTTTTGTTCATTCTGAATACAAAGTGAATAGATATTTTGTTTATCATTTAAGTACAAAATACAAGTAGGTATACCTATGTCTCAGATGATGTTTTATCGATTATCAACTGTAAAAAAATTAAAACTATATAACTACATTAATTTAAATACTTATTTCTCAAAATCAAAATACATAAAAATAAATTATGGTAGGTACCTACCTATTTAACTATACAATCACATAATCTAAATTATACTAGAAAATATTTCCGTTTCATAGCTGAAACCCGGTTAGAAGGTTCTTATCTTAGATAGTCAAAACAAAATAAAAGTTTTCGCACGTAACCAACAACAAAATAGAAACTCATATAATTTATGTAATAATGAAAACGGAACAATAAACAAATATAAAAGCAAATTATGTGCGCATACAAACATATATACAAACAAAATGTTCAAATGCCAAAAAATTTGACGTCTCTTTTTCCTTTTTCTCGCTACGTTCAAGCAGTGTGACCACCCCGAATTTTCTGTGCATAAAAAATTTTTTTTTTATTTTCAACTAATTAGAAAAGCAATTAAATTATTTACTAAATAAGTTATTTAATTTAATTTTAAGTTATATAAATCTTTCCAATAAAAAAAGGAAAGCAAATTTATTGTGTTATAACAGTTATTGTGATTAAAAATAAAAAATAGAAATATTAATTACACACATAACTATTTACAGTGCATTTGTAAATATACATAACATATTATACATAATTAAAAAAATTTTTTCTATAAAAATTTGAATAGTGTGTGATTCTTTTAACAACTATTCCGGGATAGCATTATGTCCTAAAAAAGGTAGGTTTTCAATTTTTTTTATTCGTAAGTATTAATATTATCAGGTTTTCAATTCAACTTTAAATTTAATATCTAAGCATATTTATATACAAATATGATCCAACTTACATACATATATGACAACAGCAACAACATAAATAAACCTACCCATTCGGTTTTCTAAAAAAAAATGTTTGTTTTTATTTTTTGTTGTTTTTGTAATCATCATCGTGCAGTTTTCATCAGAGCTAAGTGTGTTTTTATTTTTGTTTTTGAATCTCTAATAGTTTAGAAAAAGAAAATTGATTTTTCCCAATACTACATATATATTTTTCCCTTGCCTTTTTCTGCACATTAGATAATATTTTTTGTATTTATACTCGTTTTGTAGGGAGTACATAATATTCATAAATAAAACAGTATTGCCGCATATAAAAGTATTTGGTTAAAAATATGAATTGCCAGATATGTAGTTTCGTTCAAGTTTATTGAACCGGGAACAAAAAAATATAGTTGAAAGTTATAATATTCGTATATATGTTCATGTGTTTAAATAAAAATTTTTTTTTTTGGGTTACAAAACAGTCTAATACAGTCAGCCTAAAGTGATTATATATTTTATATATGTAAAGCGAATTATTTTATTTTGATCCACATACCATGTACAGATGTAATACTGTAATGAAAAATCGATGAATATATTCAACAAGCTTAAATCAGTCAGTTTTTAATACACGTTTAATTAAATTGATAAAATTAAAAGAGTATGAATCAGCATTGTGAGAAGCTTAGAATATTATAGGCTACGAAAAATTGGTATACGTAAAATTGTCTCAATGCCGGGAGTACTTTTTATGAATTTTATCGTTATCCAACTTAATTGAAATTCACTACGGCGGAAGGGGTTTGATGGTCTTTAGTGGTATCGAATCTTTCAGTTGTCAGTTGAAATTCTGTGAAAATTTTTATTTTGTACTTAATATGAAATCTGACTCAACTCGGTTTTCGTCATCTGTGACTGAGGCAACAATATCATCATCTTGCATCTTAAAATAATTCAATAAACTATTGAAATTTTTTGCCACAATCATAACAATTTATGGCAGACATTATTTATATTCCTATAATACTTTGAACAAATCGGCAACACTATGTAACCTTATTTTTTTCACACTTATTTTTATTTTTCTGATATTTTAAGTTGTTTATTTAGTTTTCTCTTCCATATGTTTATTTTTTTTTTAATAGAGTGAGCGAGAAAGTACAATAGTATAATAAAAAAATACATGTGTAAAAAAGAAATGAACATATAATCAACTTTTCTGTAATCTTATAATAAAAAAATAAAACACAAAAATATTGGAATTGAAACAAAAATATCCGAAGTCAGTGACTGTGAAAAAAAAATTGAAAATATTTATTATTTTGTTGCAAATTTAACCGCTAATAAATTTTATAGAATTAATTAAAAAAAAATTATAAAAAATATAATATAATTATTTTAAATTATTATATTAATAAAATATAAATATTATTTAAGTTTTATATCATAATTAGTATTGTTATTTATAACTACAAATATTGAAAGTTATATAAAGAAGAAAATTAGAATTTATTATTTTAATAAAATTAAAACATGTAAGTGCTTTTTCCTTTATTTTTTTTTGTGTTCTTATGTAGGCATTGTATTATATACATACACGTATATGTAGATATTTATATTGTGTATTGAATTATATATAAGCGTACATACATGTGGCTATACATTTGCGTAGGTATATTATTTTGAAACATAAATATGGGCACCTATCATATCACAATTTTTATTGTTTTTGTTTTTTTTTTTTTGTTTGCGAATATTGAAGATTAAAGAAAATGTGATCTGTGAAAATTTTTATAATGTGAAACTCTTTCACTAGGACGGAAATTTCAAAAATTAAAAAAAATTTGTGTAAACAATAAAAAATTTAAATTTCACATTGTAAGTGAATTATATTCGCAAATATTGTTATTAAATTTTAATAATTGTAATGAAATGACAAAATGAATAAAAACTTTATTTTTGTTTTTCGCAAATTTTGTTCGCCATATTTTTCCCTCATTGTTCAAGATATTGGTGCGTAAAATTTGTAAATGTGTTGCGTTTTTTTGTATATACAATTTAATAAATATTTCTCTATATCTACCTATAGTTTTTAAGGTAACCAACGAATTAGAAAAAAGATATTGTCCCAAAAACGTACTTATTTTAATATAAGCACTTACATAGCCTATATAATGTATGTAAAATAAAGATCAGTTAAGTAAAATAATGATCAACTGTGAGTTGCTAAAGATACAAGAAATATCGGGCAAATCTTCTTGAATTATTTTGCAATTAAAAAAAATTGGTGTAAATACCTATCCTTTTATGACTCTAATTTATTGTTCAATTTAAAATCTGCTCTTAAAATCAACTATACATCCAGTCATATATTACAATTACAACTTATTAAATTTAGTTTTTGTTAATATTTATTCAATTATTTTAATACCTGTTTGAATATATGCCACTCAATATACACTCAAATAATTTTGTACACAAAAATAATTTCAAAATTGACTTTTAATATAAAGTGCAACAACATGGCAACCCCCTTTTTTTTTAGAATGTATGTATATTTCAGCCTTCCTTATGATTAATTTTTGTATATATGTATGTATGTAAATATTTTATAAATATTGTAGATACATAATGTAGAATATGAAGATATATTTGTTGATGACTGTAAATATCGAAAATTTTGATATTAAAAGCTTTTTTAATATATTTTTTTACTAAAGTTATAAAAAATGAAATGAAAATATTTTCAAATTAATATCGACTACAGTTCTAAATTATGTTATGGCCACAACATTTTATTTATTTATTTTTTTTTTCATGGAAACCTACACGAAGCGAAAAAAAAAGTAAACAACCCAGTAAAATTACGTAGAATTAAAAACATGTTTATTGTTATTATTTTGTTATTAATATTTGTTTTCTCTTTTTTTTTCAATTTATTGTTATTATTAATATTATTTTGATAAGATCTTTATTCTGATAAGATTTTAATAATAAATAAATGTAGTCAGTTCTATGGAGACACTTAGTTAATAGTTTGTGTAGTGCACATTTCTATAAACACCTGTAAATAATATTATTCATACTGGTATGAACCCAATTATGTGAATTTGAATATTGAATTAATGGTGGGATTTTTTGCCATTGTAAAGATCTGTTTATGACTTATAGATCTACCAATTGTACGCCTGTGGTTCGATTTTAAAATTAATGAGTGAGGAAAAAAAAAAAGTTCAAATCGATACTTTTGCATGCAAATTAAGCTGTTTTTTGTCTAATTTTATTTCTCATCTTTTTGCAAATAGGTATATGGAGTTTTCAATTTCAATGAATAGCTTTTTCAAAAATAAGAGTAAATTTTTCAGCAGTAAGTAGGTATAAAGCAAATGCAACATTCTCCAGTAGGCTAATAAGCAAATAAGCACGTTATAAATTCCGAACTGCTATACATATGTAGGCACCCACTTAAATCTAAACTTTGTCTTTATGAACGCAAAAATAAAATAATAGGTTTGTAGTGTTTAAATTCCAATTCTGTAACACAAAATTTGTCATTGCAGTTAAAATTAATAAAATGAAATCTAATTCGTTATGACTCATTAGACATTTTACTCATTACCATTATAAAAATTATTGGAATATCAAATAAAAAGTCATGTTTATTTAAAAAAAACAAAAGAAGAAGAAAAAAAAATCAAAACATTGTGCTAGCTTCGATATTTGCGCTATTAAAAGTATAAGTTAAATTTTAACTCATTTACTGACTAGTTAGCCATTCATTTTTTCATTTTTGTTATTTAAATAACGATAATAATAAAAGAAGAAAATCAAATTATTGAACCTCTCATAAAATATAAGAAATTGCGCATTGAAAAACAAAGCTGAATTACTAACAAATTCACATGTGTATATTAAAATACAAAAAATAAAGTACAGACATATACATAATGTCTATATGAAGGTTTGTACATTTTATGTTACGGTAAACTTGAGTTCCTTTACATTAAATACAGTAAAGTGGTGGTATAAATTTTAATAAGATGTCATGAAAATGAACGTTTTACTGGCATAATTTTGAAAATTTTATTTATGATTCACAACATTTTCTTCTATGATAAAAAATAAGCACGAAATTTGGGCATAATTTTTCTAAATTAATTGATGTTAAGTAATTATCTAAATACAAATTAAAAATAAATCATTTTTTAATAAATGTTTGTATATAAATTGCAACGATAGATTAACTGCTATAGAAATCATAGATTAATTATATGATACGGTATAATCCAAGAGCTATTAACAGGAGTCAGAGATATAGGAATCAAAAATATGTATTTCCTGCCAAAATTTCGTTGGAATCTAAAAGAGCCAAATATAGCGACTTCACATTGTATACTACAAATTTTATATGTATATATATAATAGTAGGAAAATAATAACCAGAAAAAACAAAATTCTTACTAAATATTTAAAACTAAATTAAACTTTTTAGGGTATATTAAAATATAAATGAAAAAACATCTTTTGTCGCACCTTTAACTTTGTCGTTAAAAAGGTAAAATTCTAATTAAATTAACGCAAAGTTCAAATTTGTATTATGCCGTAACACGTAATAACGTACAATAGAAAATAATATACATAATTTTCTTAAATACATATGTACCTAGATATAAATACATATTATGATATTTTATAACGTATACATTAATGTATAAATATAAACGAACTTGAATTCAAGCAGCAAAGTGCTCTAAAGATAAACATAAACATTTTTTTTAACTATTTGTTATTTTTCTAGAGAGAAGGCAGATATTGAGGAGCAAACTTTTTAAATGTCTGCTCGTAATTCGTAGTATATTGTACACAAACAGTGTATATACATACAAATTTTTTTCTACATATTGTGTACATTGGTATTTAGACCTACTTCTATTAATATATGCACGTATGCTTTTAGTATGCCATGCTAACAAATCTAGAATAAATTTTGGATCTATAAATTAGTTAAAATGTAAACATTAAAATTTATTTTACATTTAATATAAAATTAAAAAAAATTGATATTTTTTTAATTTCATTTTAGTGTAAAATATTTTATAGTGCTCCAAAAAAAGTTTTCATAGAAGATTTTTTTTAAAATTTCTATGCTCTTGTGTGTGTTCGTTTATGTTACTGAAGAACATTATTATTATTTCGTACAGAGATAACCCTGCCTGTGGCGACGTCAAAATTATTTTTGATCAAATTGTATTTAATTTTTTTCATTATTTTATTTTAATTTGTGTTTTTAAATCAAACATAGGGTGGATAATGAACTGAAATATAAATTTTTCTTCTTCTTTTGTTTTATGTTTGTTTGTTTTTTTTTTTTTTTTTTTTTTTGGGGAAGAAATGATAACAAAATAGACTTAATTGTTAAAAAAAATTATCATGTGAAATTGTTCATAAAGTCAATTTTACGAATTAAAAAATAAATTATAATAAAAACTGCAAAAGTCTTAATGATTTTAAAGATCTTGCAGTAAGAACTGTAAAGGTCTTAATGTTTTTGCAACTACATTCAAATAAAACATTCTTCTTCTAACATAAATAAAACATAATTATATAACATAACTAAAATAATTGATATATTAAAGAAATTGCCGAATATTCCTTTCTTGTTTGCTAAAACTTCGAGTCTCTTAGCACATTTATGTTTGAATTTTCGTTTAGATAGACACCTAACATTATTGACAGAAATTCAATATGAGTTTTAAATAATTAAGCCTACTTCAACTGATACAGAAAGAGCGTTTTCCATATCTGCTAATTTTTGTACAATAAAAACGTTCACGATTATTTTTAAAATTTATTTATTTAAATGATAATAAATAAAGTATGTATATATTTTAAAATGAATATAAATGTTTAATTTATAATTTAATGAATACAATTATAAATTAATTAAAATTTATTTTTGATTTATTATTCGGATTCAACTAATATTTAAATTATTTTAAATATTCAGATTTAACAAATTCTAAAAAATCGAATTATCAAAAAGATTTACGTATTTGTCAATATTTTTTAGGGAAACAAAAAATTATTGAAAAGAAACAGAAATCAGTAGATTGATTGTTGGAGAAATCTTATTTTGCCCTTTTTTATTTGTGAAATTTTCGATTTGTTTCTGTTGCAAATTTAATTTTCTATCTTTCCAATTTTATCACAGCTACTCACAGTGCCAACATCTAAATTTAATAAAAAAAAAATAAAAATTGTAAATAGTTTTTTTTTTTAATATTTTTTACACAATAATTTTCTAGTTTACTTATGCTTGTTTAATTTATTAAATTTTTGATATAACGGTGTGGCGACGATATTTTTAACGAATCATTTTGATAAAATTTTTTTTTTTAATTTTTATTAATACTATTACATACTATTTTTAGTATAAAATCATAAGAAAAAATACTCTTAAAAATATTTTCAATTTACAAAATTTTAAGCTTTTTTATTTTTAAATCGTAACTTTTGAGGTACTTTTCGAATTTTACTAATTTAATAAAAGCATGATAACATTATTTAATATTTATTATTACTCGTTTTTTATCAGCTTTTATCAGCTAAAATTGTAAATAGTAATTTCAATAATAAAAAGACTCACTTATCTTTTGAAAAAAAAAAATCAATTAAATTTTGTTAGCGCCAAAATAATAATGTTAATAATATATATTTTTTCTTTTTGATCAAATAGTTTAAATATTAATTGAACGAAAGCTCATTTCGTAAATATTATTGCATCGTACATATTTTTGTATTTCTTATCATCAGTTATGATTCCAAAAGGTTGTACTAACGCTGACGTAAAATAAATAGGAGCTAAAAAAAAAATTTAAAATAAATTTGAAAACTTACTGTGAAAAATTACAGTAGAACTTTTTCGTAAAATATGAATGACTTTATAGACTTATAACCATTGCATTATAATTTTAATGAACTTTTTTAAATAAATAAAGTAAAATTTATCGAGATAAAGCAATTTTACATAAAAACAAAGACAGGTAAAATAAATACATACATATGTTTGAATTTTAATGTTATTTCAAAATTTTTGTCATTAGAATGTTGTAGTTTTTAATGTACGTACTTAAAAAAAAATAAAAATTAAAAATTTGTATCGAATATACGCTTTGAAAATTCTTTTACGTTTCTATTTATAACAAGATTTAAATTGAAAAACAATAATAAAATAATTGTGCTTTCGAAACAGGTGTGATAATTGCTAATTAACTTTAAATATTCCATCACCTGTAATTTTAATTGTAAATTTGAATTAATTGTAATTTTAATACGAGTAATATTGTATTTTTTAAAAAATGAAAAATTTTTTTAAAAACAAAAAAAATTTGTGTAATTTGAAGTTACTTGTGAATATTACCATCAATATTCACTGTCAATGTCAAAAAGAGAAGTGTTTTTTGTAAGTCGTTAACAAGCTCGTCTACTTGGTGCTTGTCAAATTTTATTTTCAGGAAGCTTTCATTGCAATCACATACAAACATAATACGTATACATTTTTTCTTTAATTTATATTCCATTCCAATATTGATGCACTCAATTATGCATATATTCCTACACACAAACATAAATGAATTTTAATAATTATAGTTTGATAAAATGTCATACGATCTAACGTATACGATAAAAAAAAAATATAACTTCGACTGACAATAAGATGATGTTTTCAGTAAAAACAACAAACATGTCATTACAAAAATGACAACAACAATTAAAACACTATTTTTGTATATAAAAACAAGCAAATGAAACAAAATTGTGTTTTTCCTTTTTTGTTTACAAATTTATTGAGCAAAATAAAAAAAACGAAAAAAAACAAAGAAGAGAAAGAAAGCAACATAATGAAAAATATTACCGGCCGAGAAATACATACTTTTTAAAAGTAAAATAGAAATAATGAGAGCTAAAATTGCCTAATGGGTTTTGTGTTTGGAGATATAATGATAATTATGTATGTACACTCATATTATTTTTATTTGAAAGGTTTGCTTGCGCTCTCAAATCAGGGGTGGGAAACCTAAAATATGGTCGTTGATCTGGATTCATTGGTTCGTCGTTTTTGAGCTGAGAATAGGCTGAAAAAAGCTGATCGTTTTTTTTATAATGATGCATTTGTTACGTTCATTTATTACGTTTTTGACAAGAATTATATGTAATTGTAATTGTTATGTATAAGTAAATTTGACGTTTTAAAAAACCTCCGCACTAAAGTTGAAGTTGATTCAACTTTTTGAGAGAGAGAAAAAAAGCTGTACTTAAAATAAAGAGAATGTCAAAAATTCAAATTGTCATACAAAATACATCAGCTCGTCGCGAAAGCGACAAAATATAGTTCGTTTTTATACCCGTACGAACGTATGTTCGAAGGGTATACTAAATTTGCCTTCCCGTTTGTAACGCTAAGAAATAACGGTGTTAGATATAGACTCAAGTGTATGTTTTTGAGCAGCGTCAAATTCTCAGTTGATTTAGTTTGTCTGTCCGTCCGTCCGTCCGTCCGAACGATAACTCAAAAACTAATTGAGCTAAGTTCACCAAATTTTCACAAATGATGTACTGTAGTAAGTGCCAGAACCCTATTTAAATTGGACATGATCGGGGTACCGGTTCGGGTAGCTGCCATACAACTTCAAAATTCATTTTGCTATATCTCAGAAACTATAAAAGTTGTGGTATTGAAATTTCACACAAACGAATATATTAGTAGGGCCAATGTGTCTCATAAAAGTCATTAAAATTACTTGGCTCCTTCTGGTACCTGCCATACAACTTCAAAAGTTATTTGGCTATATCTCAGAAACTATAAAAGCTGTGATATTGAGATTTCACACAAGTGAATATATTAGTAGGGCCGATCTTCTTGATAAAATTCGCTAAAATTTCTTGGCTCTTTTTGGTAGCTGCCATACAACTTCAATAGTAGTTTGGCACAACCAGTATTTTGAAAAACACATAGTACTGAAATTTTACATAAATTAATATGGTAATACGGCAATTTAAAGTCATAGTCTGCCCCATAGTTAGTTATGGCACATTAGTTATTCGCACATATGATAACAAATTCGTACGGGTATCACAGAGTTGACAAGGTCAACTATTTTTTTTCTCGTTTCTTTTTAAATTTTCCATTTTTAATAATCTTTTTAGTTTCTTTTAAAATTAAAAATAAAACAAAAATTATAAATTATTAATATGTTATATTTATTGATTGTAAATTGTTTTATAAATTACACCATAATCAATAATCTAAGCACAATAATTATTTTTCCTGAAATTCCTGGCATTTAATCTGTAAATTTTATGAAAAAACATTTTTATGATCTGTTCTCACGAACCACAACAAAAACTTAAAAATTTCAGCACTGCATTCATATGTAGCATACGTATGCACATATATGTTTATGAATATTTTTAATCATAAATGCATGTACATACATATGCATGTATGTATTAATATTACGATTTTTAACTTGCTGTAAGAATAATATAGATTTTTCTAAAAAAAAAGAAAAACAAATGGGAAAGTGTGCTTAAATATTTTTTTTATATTTAATATATTTTTATATGTATATAATATATACATACATACATATAAACTTTCATTTTAAGAACATTAAGTAAACACTTATCCACACATTTATAAATTTTGTAAACAAAATTCTCAAAATATAAATTATTTGACGTAGGAAAAAATAGACAATTCAATGACATTTTGTATTTGATGTAAGTGTAATTATTATTCTCTACTCAAAATTTTTCTACTCTGCTAAAAGTTGCTTCGCTATTTTTGTTGCTTATTAAATATTGTAGTTTTATCCATAATAAAGTAATTTATTACATGCAAGGATATGTTTGGATAATTTAATACTTACTCCATGTTTTCATTGAATTTTTGTGTATGTATAACAATATAATAATCAATGCTCCAAAACATTTTCTAAACTTGCATTTTTGATATTTTTGTGATTAACTTAACATTGTGTTTTCACAGGATGGTTTGAATTTTAAAATAAGGAATTTCTTATATAAAACATATGTGTAAAGGTTGAAAGCACATTTCTTTTACACTTTGTTTCGCATACAGGTATTTTTTATAATAAAATTCTATTTTCAAAAAGAACCAGAAGATTTTATAAAGAAAACGTTAGTTAAAAATATCTGAAATATCTAATAACAACTGCAAATACCATGAGGTAAAAATTTCCGTGATAACGTAATCCAAATAAACTTGGATCAGCAAAAAAAAAATATCAAACAGTTGAATATTGCACATGAGTCTTAGCAATGTTGGATTTTTATATATTAATATCCTTTAACTAATTAAAACATAATAAAGTATTTTCAGTTAGGTTATGCTTTAATATTTCAGCTGCTTTTGTTTTTCATCCTTTTTCTTAAAATATCTTTATGAAATGTAATTCGTTTATTGTGTTGAAAATTAAACTAATTAATTTAATCTTGTTTTTCTTTTTAGATAAAAAATATAATCAAAACGGAATTGTACAAATATAATCTTACAAATTAATTTAATAATTGTTAAGAAAAGGATAAAGTACCAATTACAATTAACAAAAAAACTCTCAACCATTGTTTTAGAATAATTTAAATATATAATAATAGGAATTTTTTCAATTGAAATTAAAAAAAAAAAACAAAAAGAAAACATTTTTGGAACACTGGTCTGAATACAAAGAAAACACAAACCTTACAATTTGAAAATTCTGCACTGGCATTAAAAATATCATAGGAAAATAGAATAATAAAGCTATCTTATATACCTGATAACAAATAATCTAAAAAATTTTTTTGTTTTGGTTTTGTAATAAAATAAAAATCGGTTGTAATGATGGCAGAAAATAGTAGTGGGGGTGGTCATGTGCAACAGCAGCAGCAACATCATAATTTCCAATCAGCAATTAATAATACTCATGTCGATTTATCGTCATGTATTAAACAAGAAATTAAACAGGAGACAATAATTCACGATGCATTAAATGAAGATAATAATGGTGATAATATTAAGAATAATAGTAATGGTGTACCTACAAAGATTGCAATTGTTGGAAAAAATTATACTGCTGGTAATCGTAGCGATCAACAACATCATATAATATGCAGTAATAATACATCATCTAGCGGGGGTGGAGGTGGGGGAGGTGGCGGAAGTGACCCACAAAATTATTCTCAAAACTCTGATCAATCTGAACAACAACATTACTATATAACAACAACTGCTGGTGCTGTTACAAGCATCACCAATGGTAACTCAAATAATAATGGAGGTGTTGACGCTGATTCAACAACTGATGGTATAAGAAATATAATAAATAATAGCAGTGTAACTAACCACCATCATCAACAACAAAATGTAGAAATTTCTACAATGTCCTTACCACCTCCTCAACCACCTCAACAGCAACAGCAGACTTATTCACGTATGACCAATGTTGTTATTCAACAATCCCAATCGCAATCACAACAACAACGTAATTCATCTCCAACAAATTGGCATCAACCAACATCAACAATTTCTCAATCCCACCATCATCATCAACAACAAGTATCACCAAAATCTGAACAACAGAGTGCATTTGGTATGTTAAGACATGAGAATGATGTTCTCTACATAACAGAAAGTTGTATTGATATTGGACGTAATTCTTCTACATCGAGTGTACATTTTCATGTAGCAAAAAATAGTTTTGTATCCCGAAAACATTTTCAAGTTTTATACGATGCAGATACATGTGATTTTTATTTAAATTGCTTGAGTAAGAATGGCGTATTCGTTGATGATGTATTTCAGAGGCGTAGTGCTGAACCATTGAAATTACCAAAAATGTAAGCAACTTAAATTTATTATTGATTAGATTTTTCCTATTCGTTTTTGTAGATCAATTTAAGTACTTTAATTTTCTTTTTTATTTTAGTTGTACCTTTAGATTTCCTAGTACTGAAATTCGAATATACTTTGAAAATTTCACCGAAAAATCACAAAATGCAAACGATTTAACAACATCTCAACATCATACAAATAACCATCATGGAGGAAATATTATTAAATCAAATAATTTAAAAAATGTAGAACATTCAAATGTTATATATTCACCTCTTAAAATTTCAATACCGAAGGCGGAACAAAAAAGTCCATTCCCATCGCCAACAGGTTGTTATCAGAACATTTTATATTACCTAATTATCTGCATTTTGTATATTGACTTATTTGGTTTTTTATCAATTTTAGGAACAATTAGCGCTGCAAATAGTTGTCCAACAAGTCCAAGGCACAATTATCAAGAATATCAAAATTATAGTAACTACAATAATAACAACAACAGTTTGCAAAATGTAATTAGCAATGTATCATGATTAACAGTTGCATGCAAAGTATTTTATTTTTGGTAGAACGCAGTTTTTCTGCTTATTACTTTCATATAATAATCGAAATAGTTCAATGTTTTGATTCTAAATTGAATTTTGTGATTTTGAGTTTTTTAACGCTAATATCAAAAACGCTTAATTTATTTGCACTTTTTGCTTTAATTTTGAATACATTTTTTTACAAGAAAATAATCCATTCATCTCATTTAAGGAATTGTTTCCCCCGCCATCAACCAGTTATAATAATGAACATGAAAAACCTCCATATAGTTATGCCCAATTAATTGTGCAATCCATATCGGCTGCTCCGGATAAACAATTAACATTATCTGGTATTTATTCATTTATTTCAAAACATTATCCCTATTATCGGAAAGAAGCAAATAAAGGTTGGCAAAATTCAATACGCCATAATCTCAGTCTAAATAGGTAACAACCTATCAAAAAATATGTGTTTTTCATTTAATTTTTTTTATTTTGTTATATAGATATTTTATAAAAGTAGCGCGATCACAAGATGAACCCGGAAAAGGAAGCTTTTGGCGTATTGATCCAAATAGTGAGGCAAAATTGATTGATCAAAGTTACAAAAAGCGTCGTCAACGTGGAAGTCAATGTTTCCGACAACATCCATATGGTATGCCACGTTCAGCACCAGTTTCACCCAGCCAATTAGGTATAATTTTAAATCGTGAAAATGTCGAAACAAATTAAAATTATAAAATTAGAATACAAGTCCCAATTTTTTTAATTCCTTGGAATACAATGAATCTAAATTATAATTACTGTTTGCTATAATGCATATTAGGCTAATTTAGATTCAAAAAATAACAGAACTCGACTATTTGGTTTGATACCATAATTTTTTTGTATAATTAAGTAACAAACCATTAATATTTCCGAATGTTTTAAAGAAAGCGATTAAAATTTTACAGTGTTCGCATACATATGTACATACATTCATTCTTCATTTTAATTTAATATATTAATATTTAGTTAATAACAAATATTTATTTCTTTTTTTATTCATTTTCTTTTTTGTACATTTTAGATTTCCCACCTTCAGCAGATAATTCAAGAGAAAGCTCACCGTTACACGACATTGTTTTACAATCAGCACCTGGTTCACCCGGTGGTGTGTCTTATCAAAACCATCATAATTCTGATAATCATGGCCATGAGGGTATTAAGGAAATAGATAATTATAGCATATTACCAGTAGGTATAGAAAAATATTAAGATGATAAAAAAAAACACAAACATTTAATATAAAATAAACTACAACAATATTTCAAATATGGATGTATAATTAAAAAGATAGAATTTATCAAGGAAATTATAATTAAAGGAACGGAATAGCATATAATAAATATCTGACGCCGTCTGCTGCAATTAGGGATTGATTAATTAAACGTAATATTATATACATATACGAATTGAGATATGAAAAAATTTTTTGAAATTTAAATATTTGAATGTTTTTGAACATTTTTCATAGGAATTTTTTCATCTCAAAAATGTGTTAAATAATTCGGGAAAACAATTTCCTATAAGTGTATTATAATTTTTTTAATATTTTAATATTTGTATGTAGATTAATAATATTTCACTTTATAAATATACAATACAAGATTAGTTTGTATAAAGATTTGTAGACAAATAAATTTAATTAAAAAAACGAGGGATATTTTTTTAACCACTTTTGAAAAAGTTTTAGTTTGTTTAATATTTTTTTTTAAATTAAGGATTTTGTGATCTCTTATTATTTTTTTTTCTACACAATTATTTCATGTGAAAAACAATTAAGATATTGTTATCCATTTGCAGCAGACCTATACAAATTTTGTCTTAAAACAAAAATAAAAAAAAAAGTTTTTTTAATTGGTGTTGACTATTTTCCATTTTTTTCAAAAGTTTTTAAATGTAAAAAACAACACAAGCACTTTTCGTACCTACGTAAAAATATAAAAAATAAAAAAAAAATTATGCATAATGTTGACTGGTTCTCATATTATAAAATTCTTCTGGATACCATCACTAAATTACAAAAAAAAAACATTTCTAACCTAAAGAAATTAAAAAATTTCTGTATGTATTTAAAAGAGTCATAAAGTTTCTCAAACATATCCAATCTGAAACAAAAACAAGTCTTATTAAACCACCATTTTTCTTAAATGATACAAATCAAATTTTTTTAACGAGAAATATAGATTAAGAATTAAGTTATTAAAAACTCTTATAATATTACCTCAGACCTATGAGCAATAAAGTAAATTCAACATTAGCAATATTATCTTGCATTAAAATTTAATAATATTTTGATTTTTTTTTTTAAGAATTTTAAATAATAAATAATCATGGTAATAATATAATAATAAAAAAATGTATACACAACTGTAATATTTTACAAATTTAAGTTATTCAAATAAACATGAAGTTACATTTATTTAAAAAAGTTTATATTAACCTTGTTTTTCCCAAAAAAAAAGAAAATATTTTTTAAGATTAATAAAATGCATTTTTAAAGTTAAATGATTAAGTTTAATAGAAAATATAATTTAATACTTTATCCTTTTACAAGGGAATAACTTTATTTCCAATTTCCAAAATTTTTTTTTTTTTATTAGAGTATCTCAAAAATTTTCTTTAAAAAAATAAGACAATACTATGAAATTCGTAAAGATATAGGCATTTATCTTTTATCTTTTATTTCAAATAAATACTTATTGTTTCTGCTAGATTCAGCCTTGCTTTTTTTCTTTCATTTAAATCGTATTTAAAAGAATTTTATAATGGAAACTAGTCCACATGTGAGACATGATAAAATAATGGTAAAAAAAAAAACATAATAAAATTTAAATTTTTTTTAAATATATTGTCTTAGATTAAACAAAAATATTATAAATTAATAATATAATAAAAAAATTTTTTGTTTCAAAAACAAAAATAAGAAATGTGAAACCAAGAAAACTAATTATTAACTGTAAAACTTTAAATAATAAAAAAATTATATATTTAAAAAATTAAGAAAACATGATGTAATTGGTTTTTAGCGTAGTTTAATCAAAAAATGAAAAAAAAAGAAAAAAAAATCTTATTAATTTTTTAAAATTTGTTTTTGAAATTATAATATTTTTTTTTTATTATTTGAGATCTTATTGTAAGTATTATCAAAAGAAAAGCAAAACAAAAAAAGAGAAAAAGAAGAATAAAAACAAAAGATTATTGTTTGAAATTTTATGTTTATGCTATTCATTTATCGTTCATCCTGGGAAAATCCTTAAATTTACCAAAACAAAAAAATTTCCATTAACGCAAAATGCGACGCAGTACACTACGCGTATTAACATCGAAATGCAATACGTATCTACTGCAAAAAAATAACGTGACGAATGTGTAATGAATTTTTAATCATTCTATAATATCAGATCAGTAAAACAGTTCACAAATTTCTAATTTCGCTATATTACGAAAACTTAATAATGTTTATGAGCAAACTAGCTTAATTACATTTGTTAATACATGTAAGTAAATATAGCGCAATATTCACTACCTATCGGAACTGCATTTATGAACAGAACTAAACTTTCGGTACCTTGCTCATCATAATAAAATTTTAAACTTAACCAAACTCTTAACATTAGAACGAACAAAAAAACAAAAATTAATTTCAGATTGATTAAAGCTGTGACTAAAAAAATAACAATGCATTGCTGAAATAAACATAACGTGTCTTATGTATGAATAAGTAATTTGGTATTGATACCCTGTCGCTATCGTTTTTTAGGAGCTACAAAGAAGGGGATGTTTGTAGTTGATATTTTATATACGTATATCATACATACGTATGTAAACATTTATAGATAAAAAAGTTGTACATGAACGACTTTGCTCTCTCAATTGTTTTCAATTTCGTAAAAATTATACCAACTTTATCTAAAATTTATGTTAAGTGCCAAAATGTAAATTTCTTTAATACATTTGAAAATGTGTATTAAAGAAATTACGCATATTATAATTAATTTTCCACAATTTTTAAAAATGTAATTATCAAAGGTTGAAGAATGTTTTGTACGTGAAATGTAGCCAGTTTCCGAAAAGGTATGTAAACAAAGCCCTTCCGTCAAATATTCGGTATTGAATTTTTTTAGTAACTTGCAAATGTTTTTTTAACTAGGTCCGTTTTTCAAAATTTTGTTATAGAAAACAACTAGAAGTTTTTCTTAAGGTACAGGTTTAATCTTTGATTTTAACATAAGCAACAAGTCAAAATTTAAAATTGAGATCAAGACGTAAAATGGGATATCATTAAATTACGCAAATTTATGTAGGTACAAGTTTCTTATAATTCTTTTCTAAAATATTTACGTAAAAATTAATACAATAATTTTATTTTGGTTTAATTTCATTTTCGTTCACATAGCGAACATAAATTGTCGGATCATGAGGAGTTTTTGGTGGCGTTTCTAGTTCATCTAAATAAGAGCAGGCTATTGCTAAAGTTGAACCATCTTTACTAAAATGTAATGATGCTATAGATGTATCATATTGATGAAATTGGCATAAACGCTTTTTATTAAAACCATCCCAAATATTAACATAACCGTCAGAACCACCTGTAGCAAAAGTATTATAAATTCTGTGAAATGTAACGGCATTTACTGGATATATAAGCTCAATATTATCCTCTTTATTACGATGACATTTAAATGCGAACTTTTTTTGCTGGACATCGGGAACAGGATCAAAATATTCAACTGCTACTCTGCCCTCTATTGAACTCATAACATAACCTTCTTTATTTGGAAATATTCTTATACATCTGGTTTGGTATTTAAGTGATGACTCTCTTTTCATCATGTACTGTGACATATTTCTTAAATCCCATATAATAACTTTTCTATCAGATGTTGCAACCACAACTTTTTCATCATTAACATCCATAGAATAAACCTTCCCATTGCTTTGTTCATATGTACCAACACATTGCTTATCTCTTGAATCCCATAATTTCATAGTTTTATCCCAACTCCCAGATAAAATACCATTTATTTGAGAAGCATATTCCACACATTTTATAGTCGCCTCATGCGAACCCAGTATATACTCCCCATGCGTGTTCATATCAAAAAGCTTTAGTTGATTGTCCATACCGCCACTGATTGTATGTACAGGATCCTAAGAATATTTTGTTTAATATGTTAATGACACTAAATAATTTCAATGTAAATCTTACTTGAAATGCTACATCTAATACCGGTGCATCATGCATATACTTTTGTCTCATAATGTTATTTACCTGAAATATCGCATTTTAATAACGAAAAACCATATTTATGTATGAAGTTTATTAAAAATTTTTTTAAGGATTTGACTTACAACATCATACAACCGGACAGTGCAGTCCCACGAAGATGCTATTAAAAATTGGTTTGTACCGGGAGCAAATTTTACAGCAGATATTACATCGCTTGGTGGATTATTTAATTGCATTTCTGTTTTACGAGCCATTCTTAATTTTTAATCAATTTAAATAATAAAATTTTTTAAATATACAGTAAAATTTTTGTGGGCTATTTGAAATCTTTTTTCTAACATCAGTTTAAGAAATAAACTTTAAATTTGACATTAGACGCCCGCATATTATGTTTACGTACCACTAGTGAGGGATATAGAAAACATTCTGACATTTGTGATAAAATTATTCGGGAAGTGGGAGATACAATCAACCCCGAGAAAATAACTTGTTAATCAGGATTGAGATTCAGAATTTCTGAATAAATATGTAAATTACTAATTTGTTTCACTAAATTTTTTACTTCAGTTTTTTGAATCGATCTATTTGGACTTTTAAAAACAATATTTTTGTGTTTGTGTATTTTTTTATTTACAATCCCAAAAAAATATGCTTGATGTCTCATCTTTGAATTAATATTAATTTTGTTTACATTTTTTATCTCCTTTTTTTATAAATTTCTGACGGTAGATGTCTCTTATCCAGTTTTTAACGTTGCCATTTTCAACAATGTAAACAAATGCAGAAATTTTCCAGTTGTCTGATTTATGATAAGACTATTTAAACAGAAAAAACAAAAAATATTTAAATTTTAAAAACAAGACATTTGGCTGGCCAATATTTAAAAAATAATTAAAATAAGTACATTTTCCTAATGCTTTATAATGGAGAATGATGAGGGTAATGTTAAAACTAAGATAATGCAGACACCGGTACAACCTAAGCGAAGGAAAACTTTAGGAATACGCTATAGCAGTTTGAAAAGAATAACAACACCTGGAAGCGAAATTAGACCGACAACAAAAAATATTTTATCTGAGGTAATCTCACCTAGAACTCCGTTCTCAGCCCCTGAAAATATTCAAAAAGAAAGTAAGAGCACAGGATGTTTGCCAACATATAAGTTATCACTTGGTCGCAGAATACTTAAAAAAAAGCGGTTAGAATTTACAGAAAATCTCGAAGCTAGCCCAATAGTGAACGTTATGAGTTCTGAAAGTCAAATAAGCGAAATATGTGCATCAGAAATCAACGAACCAGAATTTAAAAAAATTCGCTGTGATATTGTTAGTTTAAATGAAACTGCCCAAGATAAAAAGCACAAGCAAAAAGTGGAAGAACTACAACAAGCAATTTCTATATGGAAAGAAGGTTTTAAAAATGCCCTAGAAGACTTAAGTAAGAAATTAGATCCACCCAGAGAAAAGGCTGAAATTTTAGAGTTATTAAATATTCCATTAGAAATGATGAAATACGCTTAAATATATTCAGCGAACGCTCCTACATTTATGTAGTTTATTAAAAAAAAAGTTACAAATAAATTAAATGATAAATTAATATTTATGTGGTCTTAGTGGTTTTTCAGGATTAAATAATTTTGGATCTTCCAAATAGTCGACGTTCTTATGATAATACGGCATTAATGCACAATGCTGGGCTCTCGTTATTGCCTTTTCAACTTGTTCTTGCTTTTGTTTACAAAGACCTGAAAATTTTAAATGTAGATACAAAGTATATAAATTGCGTATTTGCACTCACCAGTTATATGCCTTCCATAAATTCTTCCTGTATATGGACTTTGAAATTGAGCTAATAATCTTACGTTTTTATAATTAGGTGTAACACCCATCTCGCACAAAATACACTTAACTTTTTCTTTTTCAAAAGGATTTGGCATTTCTATCGGCTCATCGTTTTTAGTACAGTCTATAGCACTAGATATTTCAACATGCCTTGTCGCTGATATTGCTACATTCCTATTTATTGTCTGTTTAGCTAAAATAACATGTTAAGATTTTTTAATAAAATACATATGTGTGTATTTATTTTCGTTAATTATACCAATTTCTACAGAAAACTTTAATAATCTGAACATTTCAAGTTACCCCAGTAATTAATGTGTGAAAAGTCTATAAACCTAAAAATAAAGAATATTCTGAGGTATAAATAAATATAACCAACAATCGTGAAACCCAGCTGATGGAATTGTGATGTTTATTTAATGTCATTCATAACATTATGCTTACATAGTGTGTACATAGGTAATTCAAAGTTTTACAACTTAGACTTCACTCGAAATAGAAGAATATTAGTTGAAGGTAAGTATGTATATACAAGGTGTGTCACGTAAGGTGGCAAATAATTTCAGGGATGATTCTTTGATCAATTTCCAGCAAAAAATTGTACGGGTGTATTGCATGTAAAAGATCTTGTAAACTTATGTGCATTTTTTCAACAAAATGTAATATATTCAAAATTTTTATTTTTCTGGGGCATGGCATGTCATGCAACAGATAAGGAAGCAAAAGCGTGACTCCTAAAAGTGAAAAGGGGCAAAAATAAAGCAGTTAATAATAAAATAACATTAATTTGGTCACCTTCTAAAATATTATTATTTGGGTCATACATTACTTATTTTACGTATTTAGATTTTACGTGCGTTAAATGTAAAGATATTAACAACATTATATTATAAAAATTTAAACATTTACAAGAAAAAACGCTTTTATCATAATTCAATTTAAGGAAAAAACTCTCATGAACTTATCGTTGTAATGAATTTTAAATTCTATGAAGTTTTATATTTTTCTATAAAAGTTTTTCTATGTAAATTCTGACACTATTTAGAACAATTGTTTAGGTACATTTTAGGACGAGTTTCAAAGAAATTGTTGCTGTCACACATATTAATATGGTGGACTTTAAAGTGAGGTACAATATCGGATAACATTTTTTGACCTAATATTAACGATTGCATTAAATTTTATTCATGTTTTTAATGAACGGACCTATAAACTGTTTAAATAACTATTAAGTTATCAGTAACACAAACCTAGCTCTTCTTTATTATTATTACATTTTGATCATAGATTAAATGTTAAGTTAATTTTTAATTTAATATTTTAGCTTATTCATCTTTTTACCTGAACATAAACACAGCCAAAATTTAATGGCCGGTTAAATGTTTGCGGCTTTTGACATTTCGGAATGTCAAAACAAAATAAAACTTACGAAAAAAAGATTAATGGGAGTGAATTTCTGCGTCTTTTCGGAATTATTTATTTTAATTTAATTATTTTATAAGCATAAAAATGCTAAATTTTTTACATTCAAAATTAAAGCCAACAATTATTTGTAATTGTGTTTGCGAAGATGATTATCCAGCAAACAATTTAATCTCAAATAAACCAAACCAAGGATTCATGGCATTTTCAGTTACAAAACCTCCCATAGATCTCACCTTTAATTTACCTCATCAAGTTGAAATTCATCAAATTAAATTATGGACAAGTATTGGAGCATTAAAATCTACCGGGTTTGAAGTTAAAATCAGAAATAACGAAGGAATTGAATGCAGAATTGGTAGCGCATTTAATATTACAGAAGAATGTATCACATTTTGTCGCAACCCGATTGATTTATCCATGGGTAAGCAAATTCAATTTTTTCGTTATTCCCAAAGGATACTCGATAAAGTAACAACGGTAATAGTAACTATTAAAACCACAAAAAAATGTCCACCTGTATTACGTAAAATAGAAATATGGGGTCTTCCAGCACAATGCTTAAATAAATTAACAAAAGAAAAAATTTTAAAAATATGGGATGATACTTTATACACTAGCCCAAACACAAATGAGAAAATTTCTAAGAAAACAAAAGAAGAAATTCAAGCTTTATCACTCATTGATACAAATGATGTTCCTGAAGATTTTCTAGATGAAATTACATATAATATAATGATATTTCCAATGGTTTTACCATCAGGAAAAATGGTTGATCAGTCCACAATTGATCGACATTCACAAACGGAAGAAAAATGGGGACGTTTACCGTCAGATCCATTTACTGGCCAAATATTCACTAAAGATAGAAAACCTATCCTCAATCTTTTATTAAAATCACGTATTGAAGAATATTTACTAAAAAACTCATATAAAAAAGAAATTCAATCGTTGCCACGCGTTCTTGGAAGACCAATAAAACGACGTTCCCAACCTTCAGAAACTCAAACTTTATCTTCAACTTTAATTCATTTAGAACCAAAACCAAAGAGAATAAAAGTTGAAAACTTTATGAGTAAAACTAGTCTGGAGGATGAAATAAAATTTGCCTTGAAGGGCATCAAAAGATATTCACAAATTTCTTCAGCTACTGAAAAGACTGATAATGATAATGATGAGGATGAAGATGATGCTAATAATCACAAAATTGAGAAAGTAATAGCTTGTCTCAGTTGTAAAAGCAATGATAATTTATATAGAATTTTAGTTTGTAAGCATTTGGTCTGCAAACCATGTCTCGTCGAATTGAGTCATAAAAATTTGTGTTCATGCCAGACTACCTTCAAAACAAACGAAATTGAAAAATATTATATATAATATTGGCAAATAAAGAATAAAACATAAATTTTGAAATTTTGATTTTTTTTTTTTCTTTGGGTTAGCAACATAATATTGGTAATTTTGGATAAGCATAATAGCTAGCATATCTTGGTTAGCATTGTTAATAGAGCTTCAGTAATTATACATTTTCAAAATATAGGGAGAAGTAAAAACGCAAGATTCAGAGTTTTAATTTAACATCTTAATATTATGTATTATAGGTACATATGTATATCTGAATACGGAAAATTACAGTTCCGTATACTCCCAAATTGAGTTGGTGCTTGAAAAACAAAAAAAAATGGAAGTTCGACCAAAATTTTTCCATTAAATATTTAGCAATATGTTCACTTGTATCGAAATATCCAAATTTTTACTTTTAAAGATTAGTTTTCTGCCGTTATAACTTGGTTTGATAATTTCATACTCTTTGTTTTTACTTTTTTTTAGAAAATTAAAAAATTGCATGAGAAGCTATTTATATAATAGTTCGTTTCGCTAATGTCACCGTTGTGAGGAAAATTTTCTGATTTGCAAATTCTATTATCGAACAGAATTTGTAAATCAGAAATGTCGATTTAAAACTAATTTAATAAATAGTTATAATATTAGTTATATTGTAATCAAATAATAATTATATGGGTTATTTATATAAGTATGTACAAATTTACATAAAATACACATTTATGTGAAAAACATGTGCCAACAAATATTGTAATTAATTTCATCATGTACTTCATGTATGTATATCATGTAGTATGTAGGTATGCATATACTTGTAGTATTTATTCTTCAACTGCTTTTATATCGATTTATACTTTAATTTCTACAAAAGTTCCAAATAATGATATAAAATTTTGTTTAAAATTGAGCCTTTCTTAATAAATAAATAAAAAAAGTATTATAAATTCATAAAAATTATAACATTAAAAGTGATTTATAGTGGGTAAGTATGTATGTATAATTTCAGATTTAAAATATTGTTATTGTGTATTTCGTGAATTAAAAGAATGTTTTTCCATTCAAATATATGAACACATTGTTTTTTATTCTCTCGAATTTTTTTTATAACAATTTATAGAAAGTTATTTTAGACTATTAGTTAGTGAAAAATGTGATGTGATGGGCTTACCCCTAAAAATAGAATTGATTAGATTATATTAATTATTGAATTAAAATTTTATAACGTTATTAAATTAACTGATATTTAATTACTCCAAACATGAAAATATGTAAATAATGCAGGTATTTTAAGAAAATAGATTTGTATCTACCGATTTTATAAAAAAAAATATTTTAATTTTTTATTTAATATTAATAACTTTTGAAGGTTCGGTTTTCATTAAAAATGTCTTATAAATTCTACATTATTTTTTTTTTTCAAACTTTCGTAATAGTTTCTTAAAGGAAATCCTAATGAATTTTGTTTTTTTTGAATTTTTTTGTACAATGTGTGTAAAAGCTAGTTCCAGGGCTTGATAATTCAATAATGATTCAGTCAAATTCATTAATATTGAAGACTTTAAGTTTATTTTTTAAACACAATAAGTCCATTTATTTGAAAAATTAAAGTTAATAAAGTATGTAGTATTTGGAGAATAAATCTTAATTTTATAATTTTAAAGCTTGAGCTAATATTACTCAACTGCATAACGTATGAGAGCAACAATTATAATATTTACATTTATATCCAAACATTTTCATATAATGTAGCAACTAATTTCTTAATTATTTTGAAAGATCTACATTTAAGTATGATCCACATACACACATTCATATTAAATACTAAGTAGCGTTCATTAAAGCTTTTTAAAATGTTTGATAGCCAAAAAGCCTTAAATTTTTTTTTGAATAAGAAACCCACTTAAAGTAAATAATGAGGTTTTTACAAGACTTAAATGAAAATGAAAAAAAAAAGCATAGTGACAACAAAAGAACGGAAATCTTAAATTAAAATTTATGTTTGTAATGCTTATTAATTAGAATAGATGTGCAACGTTACTATTTAAATCTGCAAATTAAAAATAGTATGATTAAACTATAAAGAAAATCAATTCTAGCTTATAACACTTACAAAACTTACACGAATTTATTTAGTAGTTTATTTTTTTTACACTTACTCAACTAGGAACAATAAAAAATTTTATATTAATTCACAAACTTTACAAATAGAATGAATTTATTCAATCAAGAGATTACTAAAAACTGAGAAACTGTTTTTTACTCTGATTTGTCCTGATATATCATTTCATAACCCCAAATAATCTGCAAATTTGTAATTCTTTTTTAAATATAAAACATAAACTCATAGAATAAAATAGGCGCTAAATTAATAACGATTTGAAAAAAGTTCCCGTTGTTAAGTGTTAATAGTTAACAGTTTATATTTTCATTTTGCTAATTAAAAGTGCCAATTTTTTTCGAACTGAAAAACTTTCACTCTTCTCTTTGCACTTTAAAATATCAGAGTCAAATCAAAGATTATCAACGATTTTATTAAAATTTGTTTATTGCCTACCGGTAGCACACCGGTGCCACCGGCCAACAAACTTTCTGTAGGTAATTATTTTATTTTTATAACTATATATAATAAATTTATTAGGGAAAGAATTAAAAAATTTAACATAGTAGTAATAAAAAAGATTTATACCATAAAAAAGAAAAACAAATTAATAAAAATAAAAAAGAAAGGAAAAAGAAAATAAAAAAATCGCGTATCATAATTTTCTTTTGTAGTTTTCGCCTTTAAATTTTTAGTGATAAAACCAATAATGATATTGGCGATTAAAAGAAAAAATAACGTTCTTTTATATAAAAAAAAGAGAAATATAAGAACAAAAATTAGCAAATTAAATTTGTGTGTGTGTGTATACAAATAGAATAAAAGCACACTTATGAAAACAATGCAGGTGCGCAATTTTTCGTCGTCTTCTTGTTTTTTTTTTTGTTTTTTGTATTTTCGAACAAATATAAGAACGATTAAAAGGTGAATAATTCTAACAGTTTATTATTAAAGTGCTGAAAGGTAGTAGCACTAGAAAGTGTTTCATAAATAAAAAATATAAGCGCTGAAATTAAAAAATCAAAAAACAATAAACGTGAATTTAAAGTGCTAATTTTTTTTTTCTAATTTTCGTTTTTTGTTTATTTTTAAAGAAAAAAAGAAAAAAAATTGTTTAAAATGTTTCGCGTTTTATTCTTAATAGGCCTATTGGCGTTTAGTGTGGCCCAAATACCAACATCAAGACAATATAGAACTGCCTTAACTGATATGACCAGTGAGTTTACAATATTTTTACAATTGTTAATTTTTCACATAATAATCACATTCATGTGTTCTTAATGTGTAATAATTCTATTTAAAATATATTTTAAATTGGTTGCCATGTAAAGATCACATCAATTACTTACATAAATTTCTGATAAACTTTTATAAAAAAAAGTAAAATATTGTTATACTGCAAAAATTAAAAATTATATTTTATTTGAGAAAAATAATGGAAACCTTCTATTCCGAATTTTAAAAATTTTCAAATGTGTAGAAACTAAATGAGAAGAAAAATGTTATGTTTTATTTCTCAAAATATTGCAGTGCAATTCTTTTTAATATGAAGTCGGTAGATTTTTTCAATAATTCACAAAATATTTTAAAATTTTCTTTTAAATTGGATAGAAGGCTTTCTTCATAATCTTTTGGTAATTATTACGAATATATTTGTGTAATATTATATACATATATATATACATATATATATATATATATATATATATATATATATATTCATAATAATTATGCTCAGAATGCGCATGCATTACACGTTTTGTTTTCTTGCTAACATGCTCTTTATTGTGAAAGAGAGTTATAATATTTACATAACAGGAATAAATACATTATTTTATTGTTCTATTCAGTTATAATAGTGAATTCCAATTGTAATTATGTATGAATAATTATAATAAATATCAATTAAAATTTTTTATATTGCAAAGCTTGTTGAAAATTTGTAATTTCAATTTGAACTCATCTTAATACCTTAAAATCCTAAATTATATCAATAGCAAAATTTTCAAAATTTGATGGCTAAAAAATACAGAAAAATATAGAAAATATGTAAATGAACACAACTTGTATGGCATGCTGTAAAATGTAAAATCCAAAATTTTCGTCATTATAATTATTATATAATATACATATTCCCGATTTTTAATTCAAATCAAAAAGAAATTCGAAGAAAGTTAAAAACGAAGATAAAGAGAGGTCAAAGAAATTATCTCTTATATTTTTACTATAAATAAAAAATAACGGTAATTATCATACGGTTACTAAAACTTAACAATATATTTTTAATCTGAACGTTTTTTTTATTTACAATTTTTGTTTATGTACTTGAAAATTTTTTATTTACATTATTTATAAACATTGATAATATCACGTTATCAAAAAATGCATAAGTACTCCAGGGAATATTTATTATCCATAATTAATATAGAATTAAATATTTTTTCAAAAATCATTTTATTTCCTTTTATATATGAGTATATGAGCTATCTCATATTTGAAAGTGTCATTACTTTGCCGATTAATCGCGAATCCTAAATTGATTCTATTTTAAAATTCGCCATCTAAAATTTTATTTATTTTCCAATTGAATTTTTCATAATAAAAAAATATTAACAAATTGCGTTCTCAGTATAGATAATATAATTCTAGTGCTGAAAATTCTGGAGTAAGAGATAAGATTTTAAATTCGTAAATGTGTTAATCCGGAGTGGTGTCGGTATTACTTAAACATAAAAGAAACTCGTGATTTTTAAGTATTTATTTTAAGTATTACAGATGAATGACCTAATTCGTTCTATAATATGTTCTTAAAATAATTTTTTTCAACATTTCCGAAAATCTACTTTAGTTTCAGAAATGATTATAATGTGGCGTTATTACAAGTACATACGAACTATACTAGTATACATTCTAAGCCTCTATAGGGTATTATAAATTTACAATTATATGGTATTATAAATTTACAAGTCTTAAATATTATTGACAAGTATCTGTATTCTTGTTCTACGGCGTATTTTCAATTGCTCTAGAGAATTCGGCAAATTTTTGGAAAAATTCGACGTAATTCGGAAAGACGTATAACTTCAAATATAAGAATTGCAAAAATTTTCTAACTTTCAAAATTTAACTTTAATAATTTTAATAATAGTTTTTATGACAGCTTTTATAAAACAATATCTCGAATTGTTCAGGTTACAGTGTACAAAACATTCTTTTTTCTCATATCTTCTATTACAATTATTGCTTCACACCAGGTATTAATTCGTTTTTTTCTATTTAGAAAGCCTAGTAACGTGCAACACATTATCAAGGATAACAAAAATTACTTATCATCTATGTCATTATCAATGATTGACAGCGAAATTAAATTCTATAATAACTCCAATAAATCATCTTAATAAAATTTCGCAAAATTTCTCAAATACTTTAAAATTATAAATAAATTAACAATAATTTTAATATAGCGTGATATTCTGCTACTTTATTTACGTTCATATAGGTAATTGGTATTAAAATATTAACCAGATACCACACGAATCTATAAAGATAAGCCTCATAAAATAATATTGTTATAATATTAATCGTAATTTGGTTCTTCTGTAGATTTCCGAACTATTTTTCATTATAAATATTATGTACAATTATTTAAATTATAATTGTCAAGTGGATTAAGTATAGGCACTTCAAAATATTTAGGATTAAAGTGATTGTTATCAAAAATTTTATTGAATTATTTTTAAATTTTGAAAATTTTAATTAAGTAGTTAAGGCGGTAGTGCACACTTATGACTAATCAAATTTATAAATTTTTAAACATTTATTTTTTCTGCTTTTGATTTTATAAACTAGATGGTGTTTCTGATGCTCTCGAAAAAGAATATTTGAAATATGTTAAATCTGGTGTAGAAAGTGAAACACTTAAGGCAATAACTGGACTTTTGATACATTCAAAAGATATTTTAAGGAGAGAAGTTCAGGATTTATCAATTATTGATCAGGTAAAAATTTTTTTAATACATACATATGAATTTATTTATATACTAAAGTTATTTTTATTTTTTGTAGACATTCATCTGTACAGTATGCAAAGCTGCATTCAATGTATTACTCCCAATGGCGAGAAATCCACAAAGTCAAGAAGATATAGATAACGATTATGATCCAACACTTGATAAAATAGCAAAAGATTTTTGCGTTCGTGTTAATATTGAACCAAAACATGTCTGCGATAAAGTGATCGATTTTAATTTGCCTATTATAATACATATTATACGTCAAAGGCCGGAACTAACAGCTGAACAAATTTGTGGTACAATGTTGCAAGGTGCAGCTTGTGTAGCTCCTGGTGATCATTTCAATTGGAAATTAAATATTGCACCAAAAGCAAAAGTTTCTAATGATGTAGCTATTAAACCAAAATCTGAAATTCCTGAGTACACTCAAAATGAAAAAATCAAAATTTTACATTTAACTGACGTTCATTATGATCCAAATTATCGTCAAGGTGCATTGGCTGTTTGTGAAGAGCCAATGTGTTGTATTGCAGATCCAAGTGATGTTAATTCAACACCAAAAGAAAATTTAGCTGGACGTTGGAGCGATTATCGTGATTGTGATGTGCCATGGGAAATGTATGTTGATTCCTTACAACAAATTGCTGATAGACACAAAGATATTGATATAATTTATTACACTGGAGATATTATTCATCATGCTGTATGGGCAACATCCCAACCTAATAACACACAAGAAATGAAAGATGTTTATGGTAAATTAAAAGAAGTTTTCGGTAATATTCCAGTTTTACCAGCTATTGGAAATCATGAGTCACAACCTTTGAATGTGTACGTAGTCTAAATATTTTGAATCAAAATTTTAAAATTTTCAACACATAAAATTTCTTTTATTTTGTAGATTTGCTCCACCAAATGTTAAAGAACGTCATAGTACACAGTGGTTATATGATTATTTAGCTGATGAGTGGTCAACTTGGTTACCAGCTGAAGCTCAAGAAACAATTAAAATTGCTGGTTATTATACATATTCCCCACGACCAGGTTTCCGTGTTATTACATTAAATAATAATGACGCTTATACATTTAATTGGTGGATTTGGTATGATCCAGAATATCTTAGTAAACAATTAGAATTTTTACAAAAGACATTATTACAAGCTGAAAAGGATGGTGAATATGTTCATATATTAGCACATGTACCAGCCGGTACCGGTAGTACATTAAATGTATGGGCTCGAGAATTCCGTCGTGTTATTGAACGTTTCAGTCCTATTATAAGTGGTGTATTTAACGGACATACACATAAAGATGAATTTAGTGTTTTCTATTCAATGTCAGATTCTAAAACACCAATTGGGGTTCAATGGAATGGTGGCAGTTTAACACCATTTAGTTTTGTTAATCCAAATTATAGAATTTATGAAGCAGAAACAAAAACTTATGTAAGTACAAAATTGAAATTTTTAAGGAACCTTTGCGATTTTAAGTTTAATTTATTAATATTTGAATAGCAAATCGTTGAACATGAAACATATATTTTCAATTTAACTGAAGCAAATGCAAATCCTGATAAGAGCCCTGTATGGTACTTAGAATATGATTTTAAAAAAGATTTTGGAATAGAAAATTTAAGTCCAGCTTCATTGGATGCTCTTTTGGACAGATTCACTCAAGAGCCAGACCTTTTGAAAAAAGTAAATATTTTATAAAATATTTTTTTTAAGAAGATAATTGAGAATTGAAATTTTATTTTTAAGTATTGGGAATTCAAATATAAACTAGGAACTCCGACATTAGAAAAAGGTTGTGATGAAACATGTTTAGCTAAAGAATTATGTGAAGCTGCAACCACACAATCAAATGATTTAAAACGATGCGAAGAACTACAAAAGAAATTCTTTGAAACGGTTGGTCATGAAGTTTAAAGTTTTTTTGTAGGACTTTTGGTTATGAGATTTTTATATTATTTTTGTTTTATGAAAATAAAATGTAAAAGACTGTTTAATGTTAATTTATAGCTGCACATACTTATTTAATATTGTTTCTTAATTTTTGTTCACATCTAACTATTTAAGATTTAACTAACATTAAGTTTAATTGGTTTTGGTATTTAGAAATTTTTAACTTAATAATTATTCTAGCCAAGAAAGTATTATTCGTATATTCACCAGGGTGTAGGCAACAACTTTAATATTTTCGTTTAAGTTCACAAATTGGAGTTATGCGCACGAAATTTCTAAGTGTCAAAATATTTCATTTTCCAAAAAATGTACTTTAAGTTTTTTAAAGTGTAAATAATTTAAAGCAATTCACAGTGTGATAATCAAATTCAACTATTTTTATTTTAATTCAGTCAGTAACCACTGTTTTATACGCAACCTTGTTATCTTTCGCTCAAAGATAACTTCAATGCAATTTTAATTTCAAATTATGTAAAAATTCTGTACTTTAACTTGATAATTAATATTAACCACATGCTGAATTTAATTTTTCGGTATGTAAATATTAAGGTCAATACTAAGAATACTGTTTAATTTTGTAGTCCGGCGCTACATTTCTAGGAAAATTACAGAATAAAATTAAAACAGAATAAAATATGGTCAAGGGCGTTCTTTATTATAAGAGACTGAGAATAACCTTTTCAGGTTTAAATAAAAGTTTTAATTTATTTAAATACAAATCATGACGTGTTGGAATTTCCTTAAAGAAAGAGAGATGATCAGTTCGAACTAGCAACATGGCTCTGCATTGAAGTTGTTTAACAAAAACAAAATGTTAATTAACAACCTCTTGTAACTAACACTTGTTTTATTTTTTGCTTTCCAACCAATTAGTTGCAAATAATATGAAATTTTGTGACTACCAAAACTGAAATGGAACGTTTGGGGCAATATCAATTTTGATAAATGTTGTAACAAAATATAATAATTTAACTGTTAATTATATTTGCACAGGTTTACAATTTTCATTTTAGGTTTCATAAAATTTTTGATCTAATTAATATATTAAAATTTTTTATATAAAAAATTTAGGTTGATGGCAACAGTATTATTAAAAAATTAATTCGTGAAATCAAAGCTTATTTAAAAACATGGCAATTAATATTGGAACTTATATTTAGAACACAAAAAGCTAGCCGTTTACCACATTCATAACAAGAAGCAATTTAACCAAATATTTTTATTTTAAATTTCTAATAAATACTATATTTAATTTTTATTTTTATTTATTTATTAAATAGATTAATTTTTTAAATATAACATTGTGGTTTATATGATAAGAAGTTAAAATAATTTTTCAGGTTCAGGTCCTTAATAAAATTTCTAATGTAAATATTGAAAAATTTTTTTATGAATGACATAATATGTAGAATGTCAAATGTTTCATCGTAGTCTAATAATATTTTTTTTATTTAACGGAATTTAAACTTTTCCGGAATTTAAACTTCACCTATTTTACAATTTTATTATCAAATATTTTTTCACATTTGTAAATTTTTAAATGCTGGTAATATGCAAATAAGGTAAAATGCATTCGCATGTATTCAAAGTATAAAGATTACGTACTTAAACTTGAACGATTCCCAATGTAAAAATTAATGATTCAAGTTCATTATGATATAAAATATAATAAAATATATAATAAATATAATAATGAGTATTAGAAATTATATTTATCAACGGGAATGGGTTCTCTCATTAGAATTTAATGATTAATAGGCAGATGATATAGGCAATACTGAAATAGGCAGTTCTTACGATATTTGATTTTTCTCACACTTTTATTCTCAGTTTTACTTTCATGATATTGGCAGATATTGGCATTTATGTAAATTGAACATTAGAATATTAGATGCCTACTCATAGTTAATATTAACACAAAATATTTAGAATATGCTAAGCATAACAGAGATTATCCATAATTAACTAAGGCCGAAACTTACACACTATAGTGCAAAATAATGCAATTTGAAATTTGTATATTACAAATTCTTGTTTTGAATATGAAGAATTTGTTTTGCTATACAAAAATTGATTTACTTTTTAAACCAATAAAAAAATTTTTGGTAATTTTTTTTAAGTTAATCAAATAGATCACATTTTCGAAACCTATGTTATTTCTACCATTTTAAATAAAATTCCTGTAATAAAATGCAATTTCTAATTAAACACAGTTTTGTAATCGAATTAAGTATTTTTATTGGAAGTCATCTCGAAGAAATCGATATACTTTTACGATCTGTAATGAACATTTAACGAAACATATACCCATAAATTTGAAGAAGACATGAGAACGAAAGTGTACCTAGCCATGAACTTTAAATATTTTTGAATTTTTTTAAGTTTAAATGAAGTTTAATTTAAAATCACTAGTATGATATAAGTGTTTATTTTTTTTGTGTGCATTTAGTTTATACAGCATTTTGTAAATTCAGTGAAAAGTTACTTATGCATCTGTCTCATCTCATTTGATGTTCTATACACATTGAAAGTTTCATTAATAATATTAATGCTTACACTTAAAAAACTATTGTAATTACTACCGATCTACACAACTACCGATCCAGTTTTATTTGGAAAACATGGGTAAGTGAATTCATAATTTATAAAATTATAAAAGTTTACTGTAAGGTTGCATGAATGAATTTAAAATATTTTGTCAAATAAAATAAAAACTCAAAATTTTTTTTAAACATTATTTTAATATTCACAAATATATTTAATGTATATATAATTATATTATTTCTCTTTCTAAAATTCTAAAGACTTTTCACATTTTTTTTAACTTTATTTTTAATATTTTTGAAATAATTTTCTTCTTTTTTTTGGATTTTTTTTTGTTTTTTAATTTTATAATATTTTACATACATTAATTATAATTATCCTTTATAGTTTTTAAATTATTAACATTAGTATATGATTTGAATGATTCCAGTATTTTAGAATAATATGAAAAAGAAAATTTAGTGTAACATAAATTAAAATAAAAATTTATATTAATTTTTTTTTTATAAAAATATTAAAATATGTTCTACAATATATTATTAAATATATTATTTAATAATAATGTGTGATAATTTTATTTTAACCTATATTAAGTGAAGTACAATGAAGTTCATAATTTGATATTGCAGTGCTGAATTTAAGATTTTTGCAGTGAGTACAATAGTTTCTTCTTTCATATTTTAATTTAAATATCAAAATTATTACACAAAATTTTTTTATTATAACAAAAAGTGATTTCTCTCCACACTTATGTGAATGGCATGATAATAAATGTAAAAATATACACTTTTATAAATTCAAGCAGTCTTAAGCCCATTTTAGGGAAAAAGCGCTAGCGCAGTATATTCATAATATTTTTTTTATATATTAAAATTAATTGGAGGAAATAAAAATTATAAACATTTTTTTTAATATTATAAATATGCTTACACATTAGATTGATCAATTACTGGAATTTCATATAATTTTTGCATATATGGGACAGTTCACCATAATTTTTTTTGGTATTCAACTCATTCACAATAGTAGTCATATAAGTATTATTATTATTATAACAGAATTGAATTAATTTGATATTTTCTTAAAATAATCTTTGTAAATTAATTGACAAGATTTTTAAGGTGTTTATCTAAGGAAAGTTAATCACCCTAAATTTATATTAAAAGTCCATTTTTATGTATTTATGTATAATATAATTAAAAATAATGCAATTATTATGTCATCTTTAAAATTTTAATTAAGATTAAAATTAAATGAGAATATGTACTCATTTGTACGCTTGTTTAGTTAAAAAAAAATCTCTTCGATACAAATTAAAATTTTGATACAATTTGAAACTAAACTATGAATGTCAAATTCAGTTTTAAAGTTCAAGTACGCAGACATGAAATGAAAACAAAAATTACTTGTGTACACTTGTGTTTAATAAAACTCATATTGAAATATGTATGTATTGTACATCTATCGATTATATCGATAAATAATCGATGTAAACTTACTCAATGTAGAATTTTGAAAAATAAAATTGGAGTTTGTATTTTTAGGAATGTTGTTGTCATTTCATAAAATTTTGACAGGTTTTGTGTTTTCATTTCTCTCAGTATGTCGGCATTTTTTTTTTGAATATAAAATAATAAATTAAGTTCTCTCTTTTTATAAATTTCATTAAATCCGAATTAAATTTAAAAAAAAAAATAATGCTAAAATTTGATAAACAAAAAAAAAGTGTGTTTGTTATTCATTTGGTATTTTTTTTTTCTAAAATTTATTTTTGTCTTTTTTTTCCTTTATATTTATTTTATTCTGTTTTAGCTTTAATTTTCTTTTTTCAATTAATAATTTTTAAAATAAAAAAATAATAAAATTAAAAAAAAGTTTATATTAATTTACAATGGACAGACCAATGTTGCAATTTCCAAATCATTTTCATCTGCTTGTCTGACCATCAGAGCTGCTTTATTTCTATGCTTGCCACTCGAAACTAATCGAACAGATGTTATTCCACAAAATATTGCTTGTTCTGGTCCTTTAAAAATATGAAAATGTTCGTCGATTAGAAGCATAAAAAAAATTAATTTAAAATTATTAAAATAATTATGTTTGATTGAAGTTTTGAATATCTTTCATATAATTTTAAACTGATGAAATTAAAAACATTATTATTCTATATTTGTTAGAATATTAGTTATTTTAAAACTTAATAACAGTTTAATAATGTTATTTTGTATAAAAATATATCAACGAAACTAAGCGGCAGATATTTAATATTTTCTTGCGACATTTGGGGTTGCATAATGCATTTACTGTTGACGTGGAATTGAACTATGTATAACAGTTCTCATATGTGTCTTATAACCCACGTATTAAAAGTTTTGCATTAATATCTGTTCTTCACGTTTTCGTAAACGTTTGCTTAAGCAATAATGACGTAATAATTTCTGTGATATGCTAAATAACCTTAGAATTTGAATTTTATTCTCTAAACCTATTGACCTTAACCCAACAGAAAAAAACCTCAATTTTCATCGAAAATAAATTTTAACTTCGACTCAGTCAGTTTTTTCTCAAAAGCATTAATTACTGTCCTACTTTTTAAGAAACTAATTCTGTATTAGCACAACTGAGATCAAACACTAACAAAAATTGATTTAAATTTATAAATGAGTTTGTTAACAGATTCTTATAATCTTTCATCATCTGCTTAATAAATTTTTGGTAAAACACTTGTAAGAAAAGTTAGTTAAAATGTGTACCATAGCAAATGTTTTAAAACCTCTTCCTCTATTAAAAATTTTACGTAATAAAAGAGCAGTCGCCAAGCGAAAGAATAATATTTACAAAGTCAATATTTTCATCCACTATATATGAATAAATATACATACATACATATATATATACATATAGGAATACTTTTCTAAATCAAAAGCTAAGACTTCGAGGGTGTTCAAAAATATAAAAAAAAATTATTTAAAATGTTTATTTATTGCCGAAATCATGAAAGGATTCAATAAAAAATTATACTTTTTGTATACAATTATAACGCTTGAAATTTAATTTATTTTGACGCAAAAAAAAATCGATTTTCCTGTTATTAAAGAATTTTTTTAAGCCTTAAATAAAATAAACAAAAAAAGGAACGTATTTAAATTGAACTTTATTAAGGTTATTTTCATTATTAAATAATTAAAAAGTTCTTAATTTTTTTATTATAAAATTGATGAATAAAATTAAAGAAAATCACAGTAGAATAGCCAATAATTAAAATGGAAAAAATAAACTTAAAACTCTTAAAGAATTATTTGATTTACAACCAATAAATCCTTAAGTAAGTAGAAAAATCAATAATCCTATTGGAATTTCTGACAAGGTGTTCCGATTGAAGAATGAACTAACCAAATTACAATCACTATTTAAATAAAGCAAGTTATACTATTTTGCATTTTCGAATAACAATTAATTAACCTGACGTGAATCTTTACTAAATCCACTAAATATTATGTCAAGTGACATAGAGTCATGACAAAATAACTCTATTATTTACCTTGTTGCTCCGAGAACCCACATACATCACTTGACTTTTCCATACCGAATGATTCTAAACCTGGTGAACCACCAATTTCCAAATGATCTGGAGACGTTGTACACTATACATTTGAAAATGAAAAATAAATATGTTATGTTCAATGTATACACAGACATACATTTGTATATATATACATATATATTTCTTTAGAAGTTCACTTTTTAACATAGAAATTGAATTTTATTTAATTTTTCAAAAAAAAAAAATTCTTAAAAATAAATTTTTCAGGTTTATATTGGGACACAAAAACAAATAAACAAATATATTTATACAATATGCATACCTTGTTATTGTTATGTTTGAGGAAAATTTAATTTGAAAATAAAAAAATACAACAGGCAAATTTAAGAATAAAAATGGATGTAATGATGAAAACGGTAATCGATAATGATAAGGAAAATTTTTTAAAGGATTTCTTGAAAAGGATGTTTAATGAGAAATACATGAAATATACTGAGATAAAGAGAATTTAGTATTAGTTCAAGACTAGATATGAAATAAGGAAGGATATTAGAGAGATACTGAGAAAGGGGAACTACCATAATGTTACGTTCATTGCTACTTTAATGGATTGTACTATAAGGATAATAAATTTCGTCTTAGAATGTTTTTAACCCTTAAATATTTTTAATATGAAGTGAATGAAACATTGAGTTTGTATACTATAATTTTGTTAAAAGAAATTTATTTAACGTCAAAGATGAAGTTTTATAGAAATTTGGAATAATTTGGGAAAAAATTAAAATTTCCATAAGTTATTCTAATTCTATGTAAGCTTGAACACTCCACATAAATTTAAGTGTTGCTTATTTAAGATCTTCTATCTGTAATAATTTTGTAAAGTAAATTTTCAATATCAATTAGCTGGGGCTTCTTTTATTGATTTTTATTATAGTATTGAATTACATCTTTCACTTATATCTGGCTTTACTTTACAGCAATGAACCTTTGAATTTTTGTTTCATACAACGTTTCGTAAAGTCACACACGTTTAGAAGGTAATAGTATCTACTGACCTTCATTTTGTTTATGATTGCGAAAATTTGTTTTGCAAACTCCAACTTTTCATAATTTTTTTATTTAAATTATTGCTCTGAAGTTTTTTCTGGAAAATAAACGTACTTGGAAAGGTTAAACAAAAATAATCCTTAACTTTTATTGAATAAACCTTTCTTTAATGCACTAAAATCTTGGCGCAATATAAAAAAATTCTAAAAATTCTTAAAGGTTTTTTATTTTTATTTTTAAGTAAAAGAAACTTTTAAAGAAAACTCATAAAAGATTCGAATTTAAGTTTTAACAATTGGGGGATTTTTCATCAATTAAAAATGACTTTCAATTGCTTAATCTTTTTCTTTCATGTTAACATCCTTTATCGTACGATTTAACTCAAGTTTTACGCCTGTGATTTATGCAATCTGTTTTGTTTTTTTTTGTATTTTCGTTTTCATTACTTATTTTATTTTCATGAAGGCTGTAATACTTTTGATAAGGATTTAAGGAAAAGGAAAAGAAAAAAAAAATTAAATGAATGAATGAATTTGAAGCAAATGAATAATTTTCAGATTTAAATAAAAAAAAGTTATTATAATTTTATATACATTATTCCAATTGATATTTCGTTATACAAAAATTATTTGTTAAGTTTTCGGATTTTCTGATCGAATAAATTGAATATTTGCGAAAGAAAGGTCTTTTATACAAAGATGTAATGAAATTTTCAAACACAAAATTTCTAATAACCCTAATATTTTATTATTTGATGAGAAAAAATTCTCATTCGCTCATGCACTTACCTCATAATTTACTTTATCATCCATTCTTTCACCAACTTTAATATTTATAATTGATATTACTGCTGGAAATAATGCTGTTAACGTACAATTCCTCTGGTGTCCATAATTATTTAGTGAATAAAATGATGCTGTGTCTTGCACCATAATATTACAAGCTTTTCAAAAAAAAATTTAATTTTTAATATTAAATTATAATTTTTGTTTAAAAGGCAAAATATTAACACTTACGTTCAGCTATTTTACGAAATCTTACATTTGCTATAAATGATCCTCTTAATGGTATTCTGTATTGAAGTAATGCTGCATTTTGACTAGATCTAAAGAATTTCTTATGTGATATTTGTGGCCTACAATAATATACCAAATAAATTTCAATAGTAATTAACTAATATTTAATTAAATTCTATACCATTGACTATAATCATTACAGAATTCAATAGTACGTTCTTCTATAGTATGATGATGATCTCTTACTGATGGAAAATATTCACCATTTAATTCCCATCCATCAACAAACTTTTGGAAAAAATATAAGAAGATTAAATTTAAAATTGTTTGCGTACTATTTGCATATACGATATATGTAAGTTCTTTTATATTAAAATTTTTTATAATGTACTTACAGCCATTAGTCCACCAGCTTCACAATTTATATCAAAATGTTTTAATGTTATTTCAATTACAGTATCTGGTTCACTAACAATATATAGACCGCAAACTTCCATGGGATTTCCAATATCAATGACATTGTCTTTTGTTGTTTTAATATGGGGTATTTTTTTAAACATATAATCTCCTTGTTCTGATGCCACATGCATACAGTCTAGATTATTGAAAGAAAAGAAGAATATCATAATTTATAAATAGTAAGAAAGTTTGTGAAAAATGTGTATGCATAATTGAGCCACGAAATAAGTTTCAAATCGGGACAAAGTTCTAGTGAAAATATAAAATATTTTAGCATTAGCTTTAATAACGTTAAAATTCACAATAGCATATAATTCGTTTGATATTGTTTCCGGACAAGTATGGTATTTCATATTACAAGTGTCATAATTATGGGAATTATTGAGAATTTTATGATTCCAAAATTTTCAATATTGAACCTAAAAAGGTTTGATAAAATTCTATTTCTATTGATAAATTTCAATTTGATTTTATTAATTTTACAAAAAAACCCAAACCCAATATGAAAATCTTATTAAACATGTCTTTTAAATTAACCCAGGTCATTGAATTTCAGTAATTTTCCTATCAAAATTTCATAAATTTGTTCACTAAATCTTTGTTTTTCATCTAATCCAATAATTGTTTATTAAATTTAATATGATGATTTCGTTTTCCTTTCCTCATTCCTATGAAATTATTGAAAACCAAAAATTATTTTTCAAAATATATTAAAAATTTTAATCTTTAAACACAAAAATTTAATCTTCTTCTACTTAAAAAAGGGTCCTCTCTATGCTCTCGCAAAATTTTAATATGTAGGCTAAATAAAATATTTTCAACTTTCGTTTAACCAAAACCTTAACAGAATTATAATTTCTTCCTTTTAAATTTTTAATATTCTCTCTTCTACGTATTCTTAAATATGTTTTATAGAGAAAAGACTTCCTCCTTTTTCTCCTGAACTACACATAAAGAAAAATTTTTGTAAGAAAAATTTTGTCTCAGAGGAATAATTGCCGACTTTTAAAAAAAGCAGAACGGTGATTTGAAACCATATAGTTTGAGAGTTCGAATAGTTGTAGTAGATTTATTATGAAAAAATAAGAAAATTAAAAACTTGGGGTTACTTCATTAAATTGAACTTATTTTCTGTAGAAAATCATCATGTTTTTGTTTTCACAAAAAATTCTTTTATAATTTTTGTATTAAATTTTCTTTGAAATTTCAAAAGAATTACGCACACAATAATAAAAGAAAAATGACGTACACTAAAGTAATTCTCGTAATTCAGAAATTATTTGAAGGACGGAAGTAAATTTTAGATAGGCAAAAGTCAAGAAAATTTCAGTCTTCTCGCTTGCAAAATATTTTTCTAGAGAAGTAATAAAAATACATAAAGTGACCATTATCTTCAATGTTTTACCTTATGAACGAATTCAGGTTAATTTCATGTTCAATTTGTTAAGTTGAGTAGAGTTTGAACGGAATACAATTTCTAGATTTTTAGTAAGTCGTCACATAATTTTAACATTATACATAGTTTTTCAATTTTACCCATCATTTTATTCCATAACAAAAGATGTCGACCCGATAAAATTTAAAAACATTGAAATTGGTCAAATATTCGGCGGCTATCAAATTTTAGTATTGAAAGAAGGGCAAAAAGCAATTGTCGATCACAAAGTTAGAAAGTTAAAACATTTTTCTCAACATTTTTAAAGAACAAAGTGAACGGTAAATCATAACTGTTCCCCAAAATATCACAAAAACAAAATCTAATTTCAAGATTTTATTTACTTTTATTTCAATAAATTCATTTGCATTTCTCATCACTTACTTACTTATATTTTTTTGGAATATGAATTCTTTCCTAAAAAATTCATTTCCATTTATTTGCTCACTTTGAAAAATAATATTTATTTTGTATGGTTTTATATTTATTATAGTAACGTATAGGTTTGTTGGTCCACTGTTATGATAAGGCAAATATCAATAACCAGTAATAAAATAATAAAAAATTTTATAATTTTATTGACTTTGCTATTTTACTTCTTCATATCAGATAAAAAATTTCAAGAGGTTTCCTACGTCACTAAAAGGTCAAATGCTTAATCAAATTCAACTTGTAAACAAACTTCATATACGTATAATTTTTAAGGAACACGCAGAAACACAAGATTTTTTTTGGAATTTTTTTGAAATTGACACAGGGGTTATGTACCACGGTAGGGCCCCGACTAAATCCGTGCAATACAACAGGAGTGCAGAAGAAGAGAGATTAGACATCTATGTGGATAGTTCATATACATGGAGAACAAATTGAAGCAAAGACAAAGGCCTAGAGTTTATACTTGAGAGCAAATTCTTTTTTCGGATATGAACCATGACAGTGGTACCACTCCTAACTTATGCGGCTATGGTATAGGTTTACGATCTACCCTCAATGCCACATGTCTGAAACAGCTGTAAAAGCTCGCATGCATTTGCATTCCGGGGCCATGAGAACCTGGCCGGATGCGGCAATGGAAAAGCTTAAACCAATAAATTGGAGTAGAAAGAAGATTGAAAGAGCTCACGTGCTAGCGAAGAGAGTAACTCACACACCTCTTCTTGTTCCGCATCACTTCGTCGGTTTGAGGTGCATTGTCACCTTGTTTTTTTCACAAATCTCAAATATACAAAAATTGAATTAAATTTTTAATTTTCTAACAACTTTTTTCTTTGAAAATTAACAGAGTTCAATACTTTTGCTCATTGCAAATTTATTTTATCAGTTTTTTATATAAGACATTCACTCATTAAACAATTTTATGTTGACACTAATTGAATTGTGTGCCAAAAACCTAAAAAAAACACTACATTTTAAAGAATGTCAAGTTCACGACCTCTATAAGAAAAATTAAAAAAAAAAAAATTTATAGTAACGGATAAGTTAAAATATGTCAACAACACCAACGTCATATTTGTTTAAGATATTTACATTTAGAATTTTTAAAATGTTTTCGTAGAAAATCCCAGATTTTAATAATGACTCTTACGAAATATAAAAGCATCCTTTTAATCCAAAAGGAATTTCTTTTAATTCCAATATTAATTCTTTTCTAATTTCAACTATTGCTACTATGTGATGTGTTAATTGAATTCCTAATATTTAACAAACTGACATAATAGAATTTAATATTCTTCAAATATATTTTAAATAAAATTTCAATAAAATTTTCAACATTTTGCAGAATTTGTTCTAAATGCACTTATAACAAATGAAGAATTTTCTAAAATTATTTTGAATTCACAATAAAGGCAAATTAAGTTTTTTAATTAGAAACGTTTTCTATATTACTTAATTGCTTTATATTCAGTATTTGACCAATAATTTTATATAAAATATACATTTATAGGATTATTTTATGTCCCGAAGGTGTTATGTTTCAATTATCTTGAAATTATACGTTAAGATTTTATTATTTAAGTTTAAAACTTTTTTCTAATATTGTGTATAATCGGATTATTAAAGAATGAAATAATTTATGTACTTAGTTAAAATATAATTGAATTATACTATAATAAATTAAAGAATATCAAGCAGCTGTTTATTCGTCTGCTCATTCAAGAATTCAAGAGAACTTCAAATTAAATTCTGTTTTATAAATTGTTTTAAGTTTAAAATTCTGTCAGCGTCCGGTTTTGTTGTATAAGGAAAATTCAAATTGATTTGGGTAAATTAATAATAAAGGAGCACGTAACGTGGAACTTTAACACAAATTCAAATATTCGAATGGAAAAAAAATTAGTGGGGCAAAAATTATTTAAACCTTATGTTTTTGAAAACATAATGAGCAATTTAGTTCTACAACATTCCACTAGTCTGGTAATATTTTTCCCACTCTTTGGTAACTCTTTTTCTTCTGAAAACAACTAATTTTGAAATTGTAAAAAAATTTAAACAAGTCTGGGAGTTTCTTTTGAACTGCTTAATTGAAGTAATTTCTTTAATTTTTAAGAAAATTTTAATCTTTATTTATGAGTTCTTTATTAACAGTTCTTGAAGTAAACGCTATTTTTGTTTAATAATGTCACCAATTTTTAAAAATCTTATTTTGCTATACCTATAGGCGTAATTATTTAATTTGCTTTGAACTCTTTGTTTAATTCGAAATCAATCATTCTGACTATATTTATTGTATAGCAAACAGCAAATAAACTTATTTGTATTTTTTTTCAATATTATTCACAAACATATTAAAATATTTTCCGACATTTACGTTATTCATGAAACCTTATAAATAAAGTTATTACGTGGAAGTCAATTCATCGAAATTCAATGATTGATCATTCATCATTTATGGTCATCATTTGTATAAAATATTTTATAAATTTGTCCAATAATTTTATTTACCTGATATTGTTTGTACTTTGTGTGGAGGAGTTATCAATTCAAAAGGATTTTTTACTGTAGGCCATGCCTGTAAGAAAAACAAAAATAAAAATAATAAAAAATAAGAAATTATTAAAAGAAAGGGAAATTTATTCTTTGCTTATAAAATTATTGAATAAAAATTAATTCTTTACAATATGATTTTCGGTACCCAAAATATACTCATACGAACTCATCATTTAAATTTTAATACCATAATGAAATTTTCTTATATACTTATAAAATTTCACAGTCATTATTAAATTAAATATTTTCCATGAAATATGGAATTTGATATGTGAGTTATAATTGTTTTAATTCTTCTTTAAAATACAAAATTTTAATATGAAATTCTTATAAATTTTAAGATAAATATAAATTAAGAATAAGTTCACAATAGGAGAAATAAGAACGTAGTTATAAAAGAAATGAAGGAGTTTAACCATAAATAAATTTTCGAAATAATTATTATTAATTGATTTAAAAAAAATTCAATGGTATTTAATTAACCACAACAAGCACACTATTTTTAACAGAACAGTGACATAAGCGGATTATATGGAATTTTTTACTTTTTACTCTATTATAAATTCATTGAAATTGTAGGGTTTTTCATATTTTTCTTTTGGGTTAATTAAATTTATATATAGCGAATTTAATTAACTTGTTACATAACAAATAAATAAATCTCATATAATTCAAAATATAATAAAATTAAGAACAAATTTTCTCTGTGAATAATATTGCCATATGCATTTCATGAGATCAGGGACGTCATTTATGATGACATCAAATTTCGTAAGTCAAACTTTCGGTAGAAGTGCAAATTTCAATAGTAGAAAAACTTAATAAAATATTTTTGAAGAGCTGTCTTTTGTCAATCTGTCTATTTCTTTGGCTACTCAAATATCTCAATATCGGCTGAGATGATTTCGACTCAAATTTTAATGAGAACTAATATTTTGAGTATGTCAAGAGCCGGAAACCAAGATTTTATATGGAGCCAGATGTATTTTCATGTTTTAAATTTCTTGAAATAAATATTTGAGTTGTGTTTGTGAAGGATTTCTAAATACAAATTGCGGTCGGTTGTCTGCAATTTATATCAAATTTTTTTAAATATTTTCAATAAATTAAAATAAAAATGCTAGTAAAAGGTCATGGATAAGACCAAAATTTTGCAATACATTTTCGTATATATTTGTATTTTGGTTTGCACAATTAAATGGACTGTAAATTTATTATTTTATATTGGTATTCTATATTTAAATATAAATACTTAATATTAACAAGAACGTGGGTTTATACTATTTTTAAAGAATATAAAATTTGAATAGAATTTTTTTTGAACTTCATTAAAACCTCAATAAATCTTTTATGTCCTAAAATTTCTAGGAAATTCTCTTACTAATCCACAAATTTTTTCAAATTCCAATTATTTTGTTTTTCTTTTCTTGTTTTTATAAATAAAAATTCTAAAATAGAAAAATTTGACTCTAGTAGGTTAAATAATTAAATATTGTTCTTACATTCATAATAATTTGTGGCTTTAGAGAATTTCGTTTTCCATTAAAATTAGTTTTAATTTAAAATTCCAAAATTACACAGTTTTTCATATTCCTAGCGATAAAATAAGAGCATTTATCCCCCCTTTTCCAGGAAAAGTTCGAATAAGACTTACAAACTTATAATTTTTTTTTTAAGCCGAATTTCTTAGAAAATTCTAAAAAAAAAAGTTTGATTCTGTAACAAATGAAGACAATGATTACTTTTGAAAGGATTTAATAATTGGATTATTTCATCCTAATTATATGCAATATTTCATATAATAGCAGTTGGTAGTAAGGTAATGTAGTTGATTTTAAATTTTAAGGCACGAAATGAGATTTTGTGGATTATTATTATTAATTTCAAACTCAAATATTAACTTCAAAATATTAGAAATTTTTATTTTTTCTTGAGTGAATTATTCAGTCAAAAGAGTACTTCTTTGCTAACCATTATCGTTCTTATATAAGATCCTCTATTTTCTTACTGTTGCAAGAATTTTATGCAAATAAATTAAAGTTAATTTTTCAATACTCCTTACCTCAAATAATATTTATCATAATATACATACATATATTATTTGTATATGTATATATACATTAAGCTTTTATTCATCATAAATTCAAGATCATTTTAAAAATCACTTGTAATCTTTGAAAATGATTTTGCAAATCTTATATAGAAAAAATATTAATAAAAACTTTTTTAAACCATTTTTCTCCCCAATTTAAATCACAAAAATATATTATATTCTTACGTATATATATATATATATATATATATTTAAAATCTTATAAAACTTCTTTAAAATTTCTAATAATAGAAGATTTTACTTCCAAGTTCTTAAAATATATATAGAAAGCAAGAATTATTATTAAAATTCAAACATTGTTTTTCTTTGGTAAAAAATTATAACAACAAAAATGGGGGTTTGCTATTTCCTTCGCTATACCACCCAATTGTTTTAAAATTCAATTCAATATTATAAACCATTAATATGCCATTTCATCGTATATATTAAGTTGTATATGTATATACTCGTATACATAATATAGTTTTTCTATATAAAATGAAATGATGTTGTTTTAAATATGAAATATACTTTGTGGTATAAAAGCTTTGAACTTTGTTGCTTGTGAGTGATGCGAAATTAAAATGAATTAAAATAGTTTCATTTCAGCTCAACTATAAAACACGTGGGCGAGAGGAGTGTTATTGTTGAAGACACTTTTCACTTTAATTTTCAATTTCTTTAAAATTTTTGTTTATTATAAATTTAAAAGCATATGGGAATTATACTATTTTTTTATTAAATAGCAAAAGCTCTTTACACTTGTTATAGATTAAATGAAGTTTTTAAAAGAATATATTTGAATAGACACACGCACATTTTGTATGTTTTACTTAAAAACTTTTATATATGGCTTAAAAATCGTTCTCATTTCTAACATACTTATCCAACTCAACATTTTCTATAATAACCGTTTTAACTTTTAACATTTTGTTTTAGAAGTAAATACGCCAATAAATTTTCACTTATTTGAAAAATATTTAAAAATTTGTTCTTATATTAAAACAAATGTAAATTGAAGATCCTCTCTACATAGCAACTTCTTTAATTCTAATCGGGTCTGTGTTAATTTCAAATCATACGAGTTTTGAAATATTCTTTAACACGACATTTTAAAGTTACCATTATAAACTCTTAACAAACTTTGTAATGCTCATTTATCAATCACTTATTGTAAAAATAATACAAACACAATATAAAACGAAAATATTATGCATTTTCGTTAACCATATCAAAGGACAATAAGAAAAATAAACAAATTATTAACATAAGAATGAATAGAAATTCTTGCCAAGGAAACAAAAAAATTCTTCATTGTCTCCAATTTTATTAGTTCAAAAGATTTTTTAAGTGATTGTTTGTAAAAGTTACAATTGTTTGTTGTTTTTTTGTTTGATGCTTCAATTTTATTTTTTATGACAGAGATAAGATTTTTATTATCGTATAAATAATCGAAAAATAATAGTAGTATAAGATTTCTGTTTTGATAAAGGATCGAAATGAGATCTTAATGGGTCGAAAGTTAAACTTATGTACGTGGCACATCCGTCAGTGTAAAATCTGAACAATAAGTAAAATTTTGAAAAATAAAATTAAATTCTTGTATGAAGCTCATGTTCTTGTAATTTGTATTGGTTAATAAGTAATATTAATTATGTATATTTAATTGTACAGTCTCTCATCCTCTAAATAGAAATTTTAAAACTTTGAGCTTTGAAATTCTATATTTACCAATAACGTTGCTGGATTGCCCTCCAATATGTTCTGGCTCATGTGTCGGGATAAGGGCCACAAGAAAACTCTATTTTACCATCTCTGATAAAGCGAGGCTGGACGAGACGTCGAAGGTTAACATCAAGGATTTAGATAGATTCCTCAAAAACTAACAAACTAACAAAGGTTTCTAGAGTATGAATACAATACAACGCATTCATACCTTCTTCACAATGCATTCTTGTCAAAATGCACCCTTTATATCTACAATATCCACATCCTATGACGTCATTATTAATATAAAATTAAATGTTTTAGCAATGAACTTAAAAAAATATTATTGAAAGTTTTTTGAAGTTTTGATTTTAAAGTGTAGTAGCTAGGTATACACTTTCCTAATGCAAATATTAAAACTGAAAGGTTTCAACTTTGAATTGGAATCAAATATCCACTGGCGAATTTAAAGAAGAAAAACAAAAAATTATTCAAGCACATTTTAATTTTTTGAATAAATTTGAATTTTCCCCTGAAAGTAAATAAAAATAAAAAATATTGTAAAAAGATTTTTAATAATTTATTTTGAGATTTTTAAGGCAAAATGAATACCAAAAAAAAAATTCAGTTTTTGATTTTTAATATTAATGGAAAAATTGAAGTTTATTTGAATGACAAAAGTTTTTTTTTAAATCAGCCGGCCTTAAAGAGTTTTTAAGAGTTTTATGAATTATTGAAACAAGATTTTATGTGGCAAATTTCTTGTAAAAGTCTACTAACTTAAGAACTGTACTCATTTTTTGATGTTAATCGTAATGTGCGGGGTCATTTAGCATTTGGGTATCGAATATTCTTCAATATATATAAATTTAAAATAGTAAGTTGGAGCGATAATGAATGACTTGGAATAATATAAAAAACTAGTAAGAAAGAATGTTGTATATTGCATTGTTCCTTATTTTGATGGGGCTTTGAAGCAAAACGTTTTCGAAAGGACTTTTGAAGAACTGGATATCAAAATTTTACTTTATTCCGAATTTGTGAATAGAAACCAAGCATTCTAATTTAAGAAAAATTCAAATATTTCTCTTTTTTATTTTTTTTGCTTTTCTTTTTTTCGAAAAATTTTAAAAATTCTTATAAATAAAGGGATATTCTGATATTTCGTACAGACTAAAAATTTGCGTGTTTATTTTTGACTGTGAAATTTGACAATTAATTTG